TCTGAATTTCAATGAGGATGGAAAAGGCCCAGTGAACATTCCTGGATCTATCACAGAGGAGAATGAACTAATTGACATTTTATCTTCGTTTTTGGATGATACTTTCTGGCAAAATTTGACAGGAAAAACCAATCTTCGGGCCGACCAATTACATATAGCAAAGCCCAACTCCTACAATGCCAAAAATTTCAAGTATGCTACAATGGAAGAAATGAAGGCTTTTCTTAGACTGAGGATCTATATGGAATACTTATGTATAAAGCCCAGCTTTTGGGATTATTGGACAAATGAGGACCCTGACTTTGTTGGATTTACTTCTGGATTTTGAAATGTTATGACTCAAGATAGATTCTTGGCCCTTTGAAGTTTTTTATATAAACATAATTAATGAGGAAGACACAGATATTGATAAGACAGATAGAATATATAAAGTTAGGCCTTCCTTGGAAAGTCTGCTCCCCAAGTTCCTCCACTTCTGCCTATACAACATTTGAGCCTAGATCCTGACAAAAAACCGCTTGGTCATCAAGCAGTATATCAAGGATAAGCCCACAAAGTAGAGCATCAAGTCTTTCCTTCTCTGTGAAGGTGAGACTGGCTACATTTTGAATGAAGAAATCTACACTGGTGCTGCACCAAGACCTATAAAAGACTTGGGCGCAGTCGGAAATACAGTCGTTCGTCTCCTGACCTCATGTGCAATGGAAAATAAATCTCATGTGCTTGTCATAGACTGGTTCTTCAACTTTGTAACCCTTTCTAAATATGTACTGTCAGAATTACAGGATTGTGGGAACCCTGCAGCAAAACAGGAAGCAGTTTCCTAAGTCGCTGACAAGTGTAAAAACTTGGGGTGACAGTCGCTATCTATGTCAAGAAAGTGTAACATGTTTAGTTTGGCAGGATAGAAAGCCCATTGCATTTATTTCAAATTACCATGATCCAGCCCAAAATGTAGTAATAAACATAAGAAAAAAGCTGGCAGTGTACAAGAAATACAGATGCCACAGCTGGTGAAGGACTATAATAAATATATGGGTGGCAGTGACAAAAATGACCAGATGACCCACCTTCACCGATCTCGTTATTACTGCTGGCCCTGGCGGCTTTTCATAAAATTTTTTATGTGGGCCTCTTATAATTCTTATATATTGTATGCTTCAAAGCAGCAAGCTACTTCAAAAAAGCCAGCTTATTTCACCAGATATATTCAGAAAATGTGCCTGCAACTTATTGGTGGATATAGGACATCAGCCCACCATCACCCACAAAAGGAACCCTGCCCTCAATGGATGACCCCAGGCAATCATTTTCTAGAGATTCCCCCGGGACATGGTCTAATTATATCTGTGTTGTGTGCATGGAAAAGCACTCTAGGTACAAGCAAAATCCTGGAGTGTCTTACAGACAATCCATGCAATAAGGTGAAGAGCAACATCTGGTGCTCACTTTGCAAGAAGTACCTCTGTGTGAAACAAGGTTCATCCTGCAGGGTGGATTGGTACACAAAGGTGGAATATTAGCGCTAGATGAAAGATAGACCTATTTTCTACAATGTCTCCAAGTTCCATCTGATTCTAACCACTTGTTTCATGTAACTAACATTTTTTTTATACCATGTTGATTTTTTCTCTTTAATGCTCAGGAGTCCAGGTATAGGGGATAGTTAGGTTCAGGGCTTCAGGTCTGGTAGGGTTAAGTTTTAGCTAAATTGTGGAGGGCTTTTGAATGCTATAGAATACAATTAAAGAGCCATTCTGGAGGCAGAGTTTAGGAAGGATTTGGAAGTGAGGAGGATCAACTTGAAGATTATTGCAGTGCTGATATTAAGGATTGCTTCAAAAACCTCACCTCAGATTGTTTCTGGGAAGCTCTTCCTGACATCTTTCTCACTCCCATTAATATTTGCATCTGCTCTTGTGGCATAGCCACGTTTTCACTTGTCTTTATTAGCTCCTAATTACATGAGCTATGCCTTTCTTTATCTCTATAAGGCAAGGCATTAGTACCAGTAGATGGTTGCCCAGTAAATGGTCAAATAAAGGGGAGATTTTAACCACAATGGTGTCTTTAGCAAGGGAAAGGTGTTTTTGTAGAAGAGCTACATTAGAGGCAGGATGAACAGAATTTTACTTAGTTGGTTATAGGGGTTAAGGAAGGAATCCAGGATGATCCTGTTGTTATGCTGCTGCTGGCTAACACTTATTAATTAATTATTATGTACCAAACACTGAGTGCTTCACTTGTATTTATCCTTTACATTATTGTGGAGGCAGGTGCTATTCAGCTTTACACTTGAAGGAACTAGTCCTAAGGCTACAAATCTGGTAAATCTGATTCCAGAATTTGCGCAAGTAACATTCCCAGATTATGAGTTATTTAGAGTTACCACCTAATGTAAGAAGTAAGGTCCAGAGATAAGATAGTTTGTGAGTCAGTTCACATCTATTGGTTTTGAGAATGACGTTCCAGGGAGCAGTTTGAGAACAGACTGGAACCTATGAGAGGACTGAGGTTAAGATCAGGAATTGGCAGTTATCTCAGTGCAATAAAGATGTTGATTTGTTTTCTGTGGGAGATATTGTTAAACTTGGTGGAGATGTAAGTAGATGCTTTAGATTCTAAAGTCATCTGGAAGATAGCAATAGGAATGGAGAGCTGACTAGGCAGAATGTCAGCACTAGAGGGATGTTACTGTGGATAGCTTGCTAATTTGAAAACCCAGGTGTGGAGGCCTTTCACTTAAAATAGGAGCAGCCAGGAAGAAAAAAAGTTTTTACTCTCAGTCACCAAGATACAGGGTCATATGGCATGAGTATAGTTGGCCTCACCTTTATCTTGTATCCTCAACAGCCATCAGAATGATTCTTTTTTCTTTGGGATTTTTTTTGCTGTCCTTCTCTACATCTATACTGTCGTTTGATAAATTGCTCTTTATCTGAATCTTTATTTCCTCAAACCACCCTTATTCTGCCCTTGCTTTTGGGTCTTTTCATTTGGATAAGGAATTGTTCTGTAATTTCAGAAGATCTTTAAGCATTAATTTGTTGTTTTTAGGTTCAAGAGAAAATAAAAACCCAAATAATATGGTTCAGTTCTAGGTTAAGAAGAGGGAGAAAGAAGCTCAACTTTTGAAGTAGCATTATATTTACAGTTTACCTGGACCACTAGCTTAAGAATTTGGCTATTCTTTTAAAAATCTTATTAACTACTATTTGAATTTAACTTGTCTTAAATATCTGGTTTGCACTAAATATGATCAGTGCCATCTTAGTGTAATTGAAATCAGCTAATGTCTCTTCTTAAGCCAGGCTGTAATTTTTTAATCTTAGAAATGATTTGGATGTGGTAGAAAATTAAAGACATGCTAGCACATTCTTAGATACTCTTGTATGCTTAATATTCTGGGTGAACTTTAGAATTATTTTTTTTGTTACTATTATGAGTAGGATATTATTTTTATTACTTAAATTAATAAATAAAGCAGGTGATTCTCCCCCCCCCCCCCCCAGACCATCCAGCCTTGACAGAACATTTTTCATTTCTAAGAGGAATTATTTATTTTCTTGAGTTTTCTCACTGTCTGTATATGGGCATATTTCAAATTGTTTTTGAAAGTGTGTTTCGTAGAGTTAGTGTGTGTGTGTGTGTGTGTGTGTGTGTGTGTGTGTATGTGTATAAAAGCCTAAGCGATTGTTGCAACTAAAACAACCAAATAGATGACTGAACAGGCTGCATGGGGCGAGCAGGCCAGCAGGGGCACAGTTGGGGGCAACCAGGCCAGCAGAGACAGGCATTGAGGGGCAGCCAGGCTGGCGGTGGGTGTGTGTGGTATGTGTGTGTGGCAGATTGGAGAAAGTGCAGGGCTGGGCTGAGGGGACCTACCTGTGCATGAATTTCATGCACTGGGCCTATATTTAAATGTAAAAAATTTCTTCTTCCATACCATCTTGTCATTTAAGAAAGGTTAGCTGGGAGAAGAAAGTAAATGAGGATCACAATAAATGTTGGAAAAAGAAAAGCAATGTATAGAAAGAACAGAGATAGGAAGTATCTCCATAATTGGTTGTTTGGGGCTGATTTTGACTAGGACCCAGTAAAGTAGAGTTCAGTGTGAAAATATGACCTGTTGTTCTTAGCCTTATGTTTAGATAAGATAAATAAAGTAGTACCGTGAGGATCCGAATGAATCTTACTTAAATAGTTTTGCAGCTTGGCTTTTTGTCTTTAATAGTACAAAACCAATAAAATGTTATCTGCTGAATATAAACTGTAGATTAATGGGAAAAAATATATAAAATTTTGAGAGTTGACATTGTTGGCAAGTGCCATGTCTTGAAGTTGAAGCAGCCCCCTTAAAATGAGTTGCAGGGCCCTGGCCAGGCATTTAGTTGGTTAGAGCATTGTCACTATATGCCAAGATTGTGGGTTCGTTCCCCAGTCAGAGCACACACAAGAAATAACTAATGAATGCATAAATGAGTGGAATAACAAATCTCTCTCTCTCTCTCTCATCAGTCAATCAATCAATAATTTTAAAAAGCTGCAAATGGAGGCCTAGTGGGGATTTGATAATAGGATTTTATTTTTCTTTAAAGTTATTCTGCAGAATTGTACCTTTTGCTATATATCAAGAGTTTATATGTGTATTTTCTTGTTATTAGACTCTGTTTATATGACTTTTGGGTGGTTGGAGAAAGGAGAAGTTTTTTTGCTGTGTAGTAAGTTGCTGCTAGGTCAGTGTTACAGCCGTGATGTATCATTTGTATCATGTTTTGGGAAATACACATTCTGAATATTAAAGAATGGACTTGCACATTTATTTTGGATCACAACTTTTTCATATTAGAGATTTGCCTTTGGTTTTATTAATTGAGAAGAAATTGCTACAAGTTTGGAAAGATTAAGTCTGAAAAGTTGAGTATGAGAAACACTTATTTTGTTAGTATAGGAAGACATTTTCTGATTGTTTAATATTGACTTACTTTTCATACTTGCAGATAAGATCATCAGATGTTCATTCATCTGGATCTTCAGATGCACATGTGAGTATAAAAGGCATTTTTGTGTATTTTTTAAAAATGTCATTTCTCTTTGTTTATATTCCTTCCCTTATGATTTCACTTGATAAGTGCAATTAAAATGTACTAGTGGCCTGATGCAAGAATGAAGATTTGTGCAAGAATGGGCCTTCATTCCCCTGGCTGCCCGCACCACCTTCACTTTGGCAGGAGCTGCCTTTCTGCCTTCCTATGTTGCCCAGAGGCCTGGAGCTGCTGGGGTAGAGCAGAATGCCTGCGTCGTTGCCACAGAGACGCCACAATCGTACCACCCTGGCCACTGGTTCCTATGTATGCAAATTAACCTGACATCTCTATTGGATTAATTTGCATAGCCACTCCTGATTGGCTGGCGGGCGTTGCAAAGTTATGGTCAATTAGCATGTTACTCTTTTATTAAGTAGATGTGCCTATTTGTTTTTATCTTATTTGTTAGATGCCCTTCTCTTTTTGTTCCGTTCAGATAAGTTGGAACAGAACATGTTAGAAACCCAGTATGTATATTTCCCTTTTTTTTTTTTTTAAATTGTGTTTATAAAATTTTATGCATACATAAAGGTGTATACTTGTACGTTAACTATGGCATTGCACTATACATTCTCATTCTTTTCTCATTGCGCAATATACCTATTGAAATCCCTGTAAGTTAACAGGAATAGCTCTAGTCTAGTTTTTCTAATGGCTCAAATTTGAGCATCATAATGTTCCACAGGAAGAGGTACAATTATTTATTATGGTATTTCTCTGTTGATGGGCATATACTTTTTCTTGAAAGGGTTTTGGTATTTTGGATAGTATTGCAATGAGCATTCTTTACATGTTATTACAGCGGTACTCAAAGTATGGCCTTCATACCCCTGAGAGTCGAGAATCTTTCAGGGGGTAAGTGAGTTCAAAACTATAACACTAACACATTATTTTCCTTTTTCACTGTGTTGACATTTGCACTTAGGGTGAAAAAAACAATTGATGGGTAAAATGTTGGCATCTGAGCATGGATCAAGTCAGTGTTTCCAAAATGTATCAGTAGTCATTGTATTATTTTTCTTAGGCACAGAAAAATATGCTCGTTTCTCTTAAGACTTTTTGATGAAGCAGTACAATTATTATTAGATTTTGTCCTTTTATATGAGTCTTCTTAATGTCATATTCGATGAAATGGAGAGTACCTATAAGGCAGTTCAATTTACCAAAGTGTAATGTTTATCTTGAAGAGAAAAATACTTGTGGGATTTTTTAAATTGAGAACTGTAACTGCTTTTTTTTTTTTTTTTATGGAATATTATTTTTATTTGAAGGAGCAACTGGGAAAGCATGGTTGGTGTTTGGCATATATTGTCTTGAAAATTAAAGAACTGAACCTGTTACTTCAAAGTAAATAGCTATTTGTTACTGATATAAAATTTGAGCTTTCATTGAAAACTTTCCCCATAACTAAGGACCTTCCTGATGAAATTAGTGGTGCTATTAAGGGAGGAGTGTTTTGATAGTGTATAATTAAATTTGTCAATATTTGGACAATGGGCTTATTTCTAGTTTTCAATACTACATATATGTTGAAATATATGAAAAAACTATTTTCCTTTTCTTATAAAGATGGATGCATCTGGATCCTCAGAAAGTGATATGCCAAGTCGGACACGACCTAAGAGCCCAAGAAAACATAATTATAGGAATGAAAGTGCCCGTGAAAGCCTTTGTGATTCTCCTCACCAGAATACTTCAAGAGTAAGTTGTTAATAAAAGTAATATAGTTAATTAATTTTTTAAAATTGATTTCAGAGAGGAAGGGAGAAGGAGAGAGAGATAGAAACATCAATGATGAGAACCATTAACAGGCTGCCTCCGGCACACCCCACACCAAGGATTGAGCCTACAACCTGGAATCAAACCCGGAATCCTTCAGGACACAGGCCAACGCTCTATCCACTGAGAAAAATCAGCTAGGGCTAGTTAATGATTTTAATCTGTCCTTTAATTTGGTGCTTGAATATCTTGGTTTTGTACTTGTTTCATCTTGTACTACTTGAAATAGCATTTTTTTGTTGTATTTGAATTAACGATAAACTTAAGTTCATCCAAGGAAATGGTTTTTAGTTATAAGTGAGGTATGTTTTACTTAAATTTTTCTTTTAAAAATCAACGGGTGTTTTGGATGTAAAATTGTTAAATGGTCATATTTATTGACCCCCCTGCCCCCCCATTTATACCACACATTTACTGAACCATGTGCAAATGCCAGTCACACACACAGATGTTTAAAAAATAGATGGCTCTTGCTCTCAGCTTATAGTCTTGCCTTGGGAAGTAGACAGACAGGTGCTATTCACACTGGTTAGTGCATTATCCAGGGCAATAGGAGAACCCAAAGAAGGAGCTTCATTATTGCATGTGTCTGAAAAGTGCTTTTTTTTTTCTGTTTTAAATGTTTTCTTGTGACTAAATTTTGAAAACATAATAATGAAGATAATCAGCACCAGCCAGTATTAACATTGATAACGCTTAAAAAATTTTCCTTGAATATTTCTCAGCATAAAAATATTTTACTTTGCTGAGATCCATTTTACAGGAACATACTTAAAAATATTCTGACTTTAGTTCTGATTTTTTTAACTTTGGCAAAACAAAAATTTTAATGGATGATTGCATTTCTTTCCATGAATAGACCATAAGTATCTTAACCATTTCCATTGCGGGTTTAGCTGTTAGGCTATAACTAAAAATTGAGCCCAAACATTTTGTTTTATAAAATTATGTCTTCCATTGCATTTATATATGATTTTAAAATTTATTTAAACTTTTTAAGTTGAAACTAAAGATGTTGACTGAATGATGGCAAAAAATTTTTCTTCCTATTTCAGTGAAAAAATTATCTTGAATCTGTCCCTGAAATCCAATATTGACTTGGGGGTTATAAGTTGCTTTACTTTTTTTCAAAAGGAATTTAATGTAACTTTAAAATGGTTTGCAGTAATATTACTCTTTCATTTTGCATATTGCAAGGGCAAGCCTTTTTAACTGGGATTGATAAAGTCTAATTTTGCAGTTGGTTAACTTCTCTTTTAGTAGGAGCTATGAAACCTTCAGATTTAATGGCAGATTAGTATTTTTCTGTTGTATTTAATAAACATTTATTTTAAGTTATGAATCATAAGCTAACATTCAATTTAATAACTGAACAACTAAAGGTCTATAATTTATTCAAACCATATTTCAGAAAAAAATACTATTTCCTCACATTCAAAAGTAAGTAATTGATGAATGCTTATTTGTGCAAAAACCTGAAATACTGTTTATGATATATTCCCTGCAAAGAAAATGATTTTTATAAACATCACTATTGTTGATGAGGTGATTTCAGATGCCCCTCAATAGATAAGTAGAGAAAAATTAGTAGTACTTATAAACAAGGGACTATTACTTAGCCATAAAAAAGAATGAAATTTTATAATTTGTGACAGCATGGATGAACCTAGAGGATATTATACTAAGTTAAATAAGTCAGTCAGAGAAAGATAAATACCATATGCACTTATATGGAATCTAAAGAACAGAATAAATTAATAAGCAAAACTAAACAGAGAACTGAAAACAGACTGATGCTTGCAGAGGGGAGGAAGGTGAAAAGGTGAAAGGGTTTAGCCTGCACCATCTCTAATCTGGGGCCCTTCAAGGGATGTCCGACTACCTGTTCAGGTCTGATCCTACAGGACATCCTTCTCACAATCCAGGAGTGCTGGCTCCCAACTGCTTGCCTGCCTGTCTGCCTGCCTGCCTTTCTTTCTCATTGCCCCTAACCACTTTTGCCTGCCAGCCTGATCACCCCTAAACACTCTGCTGCCAGCTTGATTGACACCTAACTGCTTCCCTGCTGGCCCGATTGCACCTAATTGCCCTCCACTGCTAACCTAGTTACCTCTAACTGCCTTTCCCTCCTAGCCTGGTCACCCATAACTGCCCTCCCCTGCCGACCTGGTCGCCCCTAATTACCCTCCCCTACCGGCCTGGTCACCACCAACTGCCTTCCTCTGCTGGCCCGATCACCCCTAATTGCCCTCCCCTGCAGACCTGGTCCCTCCCAACTGCCTTCCCCTGCTGGCCATCTTGTGGTGGCCATCTTATGTGTTGGAGTCACGGTCAATTTGCATATTATCTCTTTATTAGATAGAATTATACACATAATTTTATCTAATAAAGAGATAATATGCAAATTGACCCTCACACCCTTGCTGGCAGGGGAGGACAGTTGGAGGCTACTGAGCCAGCAGGGTAGTTAGGCATTATTCAGGCTGGCAGCAGAGTGGTTAGGGGGTGACCAGGCTGGCAGAGGAGGGCAACCCCCAGTGCATAAATTTCATGCACTGAGCCTCTGCCCTTTATTATAAAGAGGAAATATGCAAATTGACCATCATTCCAATACATGATATGGACACACCCATGTGTCCAATGGTGGCTGCCCCCATTTTCACACAAGATGGCCAACACATGATGGTCAGCAGGGAGGGCAATTGTGGGCGATCAGGTCAGCAGGAGAGGGCAGTTGGGAGGGACCAAGTCTGCAAGGGAAGGCAGTTGGGGGGAACAGGCCTGCAGGGGAAGACAGTTGGGGGCGATCTGGCCAACAGAGGAGGGCAGTTAGGGGTGACCAGGCTAGCAAGGAAGGGCAGCTAGGGGTGATCAGGTCAGCAGGATAGGGCATTTAGTGGCGACCAATCCTGAAGGGGAGGACAGTTAGGGTGACCAGGCCAGCAGGGGAGCGGTTAGGTGTTGATTGGGCTGGCTGAGAAGTGGTTAGGGGTTGATCAGGTTGGCAGACAGAAGCGGTTAGGGCCAATCAGGCAAGCAAACAGGCAAATGGTTGGGAGCCAGCAGTCGTGGATTGTGAGAGGGTGCAGGTTGGGCTGAGGGACACCCCCCCCCCCTTCCGGTGCACAAATTTCATGCACTGGGCCTCTAGTAATATAATAATGGGAATGTAAAGTACACCATAGGAAATATAGTCAAGAATTTATAATAATAAAAATGTAATATGCTAATTAGACCAGACATTCTTCCAGACGAAGCCAGGGCTGCAAGGGAATCCCAGGTCCTGGGTGCCAGCCAGCAGCCTGAGGGGAGCTGGGATCCTGGCAGCTGGGGGAATGAATTTTGTGCATTGAGCTTCTAGTACTGTAATAATGATGTATAGTGCTAGGTGGGTACTAACAATATCAGAGGGGAGGTGAACATTTTGTAAAGTATGTGATTAATTGCTATACTGTACACCTGAAACTAATCTGTATATATAAAAGCCTAAGTGACCATCCGACTGTCTGACCAGTAGCTATGATGTTCAATGACCACCAGGGGGCAGGTGCTCCAACCAGTAGCTATGGCGCACACTGACCACTAGTGGGCAGACGCTCAACACAGGAGCTGCCAAGCTGCAGTGACTTAACAGCTGTGGTTCTCAGGTGATGCATTGGAATCAGAGAGGAAGGAGCCTGATTCCCAGGTGCATCACCTGAGAATCGCCCTCTTGCAATCTGGGACTCCTCAGGCAATTTCGGAGGGCCAGTTTCTGCCTGATACCTGCAGGTCAGGCCAAGGGATCCCACCAGTGTACTTGTCTCTAGTAAAAGATAATATTGAATGTAAACTGTAAGTGAAAACAAAAAAAAAAAATAGAAAAGCATTGAGTGGGGGGAAAAGAATGAGGTAATTTACTTAATTATACAAGGAAGTGATGCAATTTGTGGTACCTGAACTGTTGGTTATAAGATTTCTGCTTAACCATGGAAATGTATACCTCTTTTTCTTTATTCGAAATGTCTATTTTCTATACTGCTTCTTTTACTGGGAAACATCTGTGCTTTCCCTGCTCAGTTGCTTTTTTATTCTTGCTGCTAACAAGCAAGTTGAATGAGTTTGAAGCCTTTTGTAAAAAACCTTTTATATGTTGGTAACCTTCAGCTAATAAATGAAGCTGTCCTTTGCTAGCTGAAGATAACATATATTTACACCAGATTTAACCTTTAAGGTATGCAGTTACCTGATGCATAGCATACTCTCACTTTTTTTTTTTTACAATGATTTTTTTTTTTAAGTTGTCCTGAAGATTTGGTTATCAGTTTAGGTCTATTAAATTAGAGCTAGTATTAAGACTATGTAAAGGTATGCTTTTTTATTTTTTTTCATAGCCTCTTCTAGAAAACAAACTTAAAGCATTCAGTATTGGAAAAATGAGTACAGCTAAGCGAACTCTAAGTAAGAAGGAGCAAGAAGAATTGAAGAAAAAGGTAATGTTTAAAATGTATTTTGAGTAATCTTTGGAAATAAATGTATCCAAAGGGACAGTAAGTGTATGGGCAGTAGAAATATGTTTTTCAGAGAATTTTGACTTCCAGGGTATTCTTAGCTGCTGCCTCCAATTCAAGTCTATGACCCAAGGTCTGGTTAGAGGAGTCCGGCTTCTATCCTTGTCTCCTTCTATCCCTGTTTTCTTTTTGGTCTATTCTTTTCTATAAGCAAATGTGTACATGTATATTGTACCCTACCCTCTTAGGTGCACAGTAGCATATACTTTACCTTTTTCATCTTGATTTTTTCACTTAACATTATGTCTCAGAGATTAGCAAGAATATTGAGATATTTCTCTCTTTTTTTTAAGTATTTGTGTAGAAATGCAATTGTTTATTCAATGAAAATCCTATTTGTTTTGGTCTTTTGCCATTTCAGATAGTGCTGCTTTGGATAGTTAATGTGCATATGGTTTTTTCTTTGCTAGTGTATCCTTGGAACATATTCTATAAGTGAGACTACTGGGTTGGTGTTAAACATATAAATATAGCTCTGTAAATATTGTCAAATTGCTCTCTCTCAGGGCAGGGCCAATTTGCTTTCCTGTCAGCTATTACTGGGAATTTCCTCATAACCTATCAACAAAGGGTGTTATCAAAGTTGTTTTGCCAACCTGGCTAGGTGAAAATAGTATCTCAATTTAGCTTTAAATTTGTATTTTTTGTATAAGTAAATAAGGTTGAACAACTTTTCTTGGTTTTGTTTCTGTGATGGTCTGCTCCTAACTAAACTAATCATTCTATAAGTTAGTAGGCTACCTATACTTTTAAAAACCTTGTATATTATGTATATTAACACTTGGTCTATGATATACAATGCAGTGTTTTGTCCCAGTTCCTCGATTGTCTTTTTATTTTGCTTCCAGTGTTTTCTCATGTATAAAGTACTTATTATGTAATCAGATTTATGGGTCCTTCCTTTAGGGTTCTTTTTTTTTAGTCAAGATTTTCCCATTCTCATCTTATAAAAGAATTTCCTCATTTTTTCCTAATACTCACATGGTTTTATTTTTTTAAAAATTAAATCTGTGTATAATGTGAATAATTGGTTCATTTTTATCTCTTTTAAAATAGTTATCAAGGTAGCCCCCACCATCATTCATTGAAAAGTCCATCTCTTCTTCGTTGATTTGAGATGCCACTTTTATTGAATACTAAATTTGCACATGCTGTTGGATTTATTTCTCTACTTTCTATTCTGTTTCAGAGGCCTTTCTATCCATACATTATGAGGACATTTGGCATAGTTTTAATGGAAATTGTCAAGGTTCTGAGCTGCTTTTTTTTTTTTTTTTTTTTTTAATGCTATCTGGATATAATACTGCTTCAATTTTTAATATTTTTTTTATTAAGGTATCATATGTATACATATCTTACCATTGTCCCCTCAACTCCACTCCCATACATGCCCTCACCCCCAATATTTTGCTGATTGATTATTGTTGATTATTCTTATATGCATGCATTCAAGTCCTTCAGCTGATCTCTTTCTCTTTCTCTCTCTCTCTCTCTTTTTTTTTTTTTGTGTCTTTTGTTTTGTTTTGTTTTCCACCTATGTTTTTGCTCTGGGCACTACCAGAGGCGCTTACTGCCCAAAACAGTGAATCAAGACCTGCAGATTCTCTCCGAGAACTCTAGCACACCAGGACATTCAGTTGATCTCTTATCTCACACACCTCTCCCTAACCTTCCTGCTATAATTTGACAGTTTGATGCTTTACTGCCTCTGTATCTGTCTTTTTGTTTATCAGATTACAATGTTTTTATTATCCATGAATGAATGAGATCATGTGGTATTTTTCTTTCATTGACTGGCTTATTTCAATTAGTATAATGTTCTCCAATTCCATCCAGGTTGCTGCAAATGATAAGAATTCCTTCTTTCTTATGGCAGCATAGTATTCCATTGTGTAGATGTACCATAGTTTTCTGATCCAGTCATCTGCTGATGGGCAACTATGCTGTTTCCAAATCTTAGCTATTGTAAATTGTGCTGCTATGAACATAGGGTGCATATATCCTTTCTGATTGATGTTTCCAGATTCTTAAGATATATTCCTAGGTGTGGGATTACTGGGTCAAATGGGAGTACCATTTTCAGTTTTTTGAGGAAATTCCATACTGTTCTCCACAGTTGGTTGCACCAGTCTGCATTCCCACCAGCAGTGCACCAGGGACCCTTGTTCATCTTGTCATTTGTTGATTTGATGATAGCCATTCTGATAGGTGTGGGATGGTACCTCATTGTTGTTTTGATTTGCATTTCTTGTATAATTAGTGACATTGAGCATATTTTCATGTGTCTCTTGGCTTTCTGTCTTTCAAAAAGATTCTATTTAGGTCCATTGCCCTTTTTTTTTTTTATTGGATCATTCATCTGCCTGTAGATGTTGGAGATTAAACCTTTATCAGTGATAACATTTGCAAATATGCTCTCCCATATAGTGGGCTTTCTTGTTGTTTTGTTGATGGTTTCCTTTGCTATGCAAAAGCTTTTATTTTGCTGAAGTCGCATTTATTTTCTCTTTAACTTTCATTGTGCTAGAAGCAGTATCAGTGAAGAAATTGCTTTGGCATATGTCTGAGATTTTGCTGCCTGTGGATGCCCCTAGTATTTTTATGATTTCCCATCTTATGTTTAAGTCCTTGATCCATTTTGAGTTTATTTTTGTGTATGGTATAAGTTGGTGATCTAGTTTCATTTTTTTGCATGTATCTGTCCAATTTTCCCAACACCATTTGTTGAAGACTCTGTCTTGACTTCATTGTATGATCGTGCCTCCTTTGTCAAATATTAATTGAGCATAGTGGTTTGGGTCCATATCTGGATTCTCTATTCCATTGATCTATATGTGTGTTCTTGTGCCAGAACAATGCTGTTTTGAGAACAGTGGCTTTGTAGTACAGTTTGAAATCTGGTATTGAGATCCCTCCTACTTTATTCTTCTTAGGATTGCTTTGGCTTTTTGGGGTCCAATTTCTAATATTTTTATCTTCAGTGGTTTGGAAAGGAAATCTTTGTATTTATGTTCACTGAATTAAATCATTGTGCCTTGGAAATAATATAAACATTAATATAATAATATATTTTCTAAAGTCAATTGTTTTATGTCAGTTTGACCTTAGAATTGCCTCTAAACAAATTTACTTAGTGGGTCCTTTATTACTTCTACCAATTATGGTCAAACCTCGTTTCTTAAATATCTCCCATCTAGAAAAATTCAGTTCTCAATCAAGTTGTTCACAGAAAAGATGTGGACTAAAACTTAAGTTTCCCACCTGACAAACCCTTTCATGCTTATACCTCATAACAAAAAGCTTCCCTCGCAACAAAGGGAAGAATGCTTTTGTTGCTGGCCAAATCAGTCTATGATTAGCCCAATTTTAAAACATGATGACACCATCAAGAGTGCTAATGTTGCTAAAGGTGTGAAAGTGCTCACAAAACAACTATCACAGGCTTTTGAATAGGTAGAAAACCTGTTGATTGGATAAATGAAAAGCAGGTAGCAGCCATATATGAAAATTTTGTTTAAGGCTAATAGGGGATGGTTTGACAAATTTAAGGAAAGAATTATTTGTAGATTATACAGTATATTAGACATGTACAGTGTATAAGAAAGGTTAAAATGGAATAATTTGAGGGTTTGGAACTGATTAATTCAATTCACATTATTTTTAATGGGAAAGAATGATTTGATTTCTGAACAAATCACTTCTTAATCTTTTGGAATGAATTATGTTTGAGAACTGAAGTTCCACTGTACCATAGAAGAGCAAAGCCTCTTAGTTTCAATGTTAGTTAATATGTAATATTTGTCTTAGATTATCTATTAAGACTGCTTAACCTACTTTCCCCAACAAAGGGAGAAGTTTTGTTTACATTATGCCTTGATGAGTTTAAGCCTACATACAATAATAATTTTTTGTATTAGGCTATATTAAATTATTCATGTGTATTTAGGAGGATGAAAAGGCTGCTGCTGAGATTTATGAGGAATTTCTTGCTGCTTTTGAAGGAAGTGATGGTAATAAAGTGAAGACATTTGTGCGTGGAGGTGTTGTTAATGCAGCTAAAGGTAAGCATGAATATTATAGCCCTTGTATAAACTCAAAAGCCATGGTTGAATGACCAAGAGAATTATGAAAGAAGTTTGATTGCTTTTGAATTTAATGTTTCCTTTCTATCAGCACCCTCTAGTGGTATTAATTATTAAAATAAGTGTCCAAATGTGGATTAATGAGAATTGGAATTAAATAAGTTTTAAAAATATTTTCTACCTTCCAAATTTTAAGACAGAATACTCTTTAAAAATATTAATATTCATTTTTACTATAAAATTATAAACTCAGTATTTTTGAGACTATTATGTATTAGGACTAAAAGCATTTTATTTTTAAATACAAATAGCAAGTAAACAAAATTCAAATAATGTGGAATTAATATTGAAACTTAGTATTTTAAATTTCAGAAGAACATGAAACAGATGAAAAAAGAGGCAAAATCTATAAGCCATCTTCAAGATTTGCGGATCAAAAAAACCCTCCAAATCAATCATCCACTGAAAGACCACCATCTCTTCTTGTGATAGAAACCAAAAAACCTGTAAGTCCTTCTTAAATAGGAGATCACTTATGTTGAGATGACACTGTCAGTGGTACTTTTAGTACTTCCACTGTAAGCAGGACTTTGGTTTCTTTTTAATTCTTTTGTTACTAGATGTTGAGTTTTGGACCTTAAACTTTCTAGTTGAGAGAGAATAATTTAGAATAGGACATGTAGATAATAGTTCGTGCTCTTTGAGCACTGAGCATTTGCTATTACAATAGTCATAGCATTGAAAAGCAAGTGAAAAGTTGACTATATTTTAGTTGTAAATATAAAATAATGGGATTGTATTTTTAAGCAATTCTGAACTGAGATATTTGTATACCTTGGAAGACTAAATATGTCCCATGTCCCACAGTGTGTCTGGTGTTTGGTACATTTTTGGAATTTATTTGGAATTACTACCAGAATTAGTGACACTTCTAAATATCCTCAATGCTATAAAAGTTTTTATTTTTTGAGGGTAAGCTTTTAATGTAGGAAGGTAGGTAGATCTATCATTTATTTTTAAAAATTTTTTTTTTAGATAGATATAATTTAAAAGTCATCCTTATGAAGTATACAATTCAGTGATTTTATATTTTTAGTATCTTTAGTTGTATAGCAATCACTGATCTCTAATTTCAGAATATTTTTATTATTCCAGAAAGAAACTTTATACCTATTTTTAGTCTTCACCAATCCCTGGCAACCACTAATATACGTTCTGTCTCTTTGGATCTGTCATTTCTGGAGATTTTACACAGATGAAATCATACAACACAAAAACTCAGCCATTTGTGTCTGGGTTCTTACATAATGGGTTCATCTATGTTGTGGCATATATCAGTACTTCATTCTTTTTTATGGTTTGATGATATTCCATATTATGGATATATCACATATTGTTTATCCATTTATCTCTCTCTTTTTCTTTTTTTTTTTTTTTTTTTTTTACATATTTTTATTGATTTCAGAGAGGAAGAGAGAGATAGAAACATCAATGACGAGAGAGAGTCATTGATCAGCTGCCTCCTCCACGCCCCACACTGGGGACTAAGCCCACAACCTAGGCATGTACCCCCAACTGGAATCGAACCTGGGACCTTTCAGTCTGCAGGCTGTTGCTCTATCCACTGAGCCAAACCAGCTAGGGCTCTATTTATCTCTTGATGGACATTTGGATTGTTTCCACTTTTGGCTATTATAGTAGAACTAGAGATCTGGTGCATGGAATTTGTGCATGGGGAAGGGTGGTCACTCAGCTTGGCCTGCACCCTCTCCAATATGGGATCCCTTGAGGGATATCCGACTGTCAGTTTAGGCCCAATCCCAGTTGGATATCCCTCTTACAATCCGGGACTGTTGGCTCCTAACGCTCGCTCGCCTACCTGCCTGCCTGCCTGCCTGCCTGCCTGATCACCCCCTAACTGCTCCCCTGCCAGCCTGACTGCTCCTAACTGCTCTCCCTTGCCAGCCTGGTCACTCCCCGCTGCCCTCCCCTACAGGCCTGGTCATCCCCATCTGCCCTTCCCTGCGGACCTGGTTGCACCCAACTGCCCTCCCCCCTGCAGGCCTGGTTGCCCTCAACTTCTCTCTCCTGCTGGCCATTTTGTGGTGGCCATTTTGTGACGACGTGGGGACAGCCATAGTGTGATAACATCATGGTGGCCATCTTGTTATGATGTCCTCGGACGCCACCTACGCTTTTATTATATAGGATAATGCTAATATAAACATTCACATATAGGCTTTTTTGTGAACATGTGTTTTTAATTCTTTTATCTATACCTGGAAGTGGATTTGCTGGGTTATAAGATAACTATTTAACTTTTTGTGGAACTGCCAAACTCTTTTCCAAAGTAGCTCTATCAACAATGTATGAAGATTCCAATTTTTCTATATCTGTAGCAACACTTGTTGAAATTGCCTGTCTTTAAATTTATTATAATTTACATTTTCCTAAAGATGCAGAACATTTATATGTTTATCATTTATTTATAATCTGTGGAAATGTCTTTATGGATTCTTGGCCCATTTTTAAATTTGATTATTTACCTTTTTTTTGTTTGATTATAAGAGTATTCTACACTTTTGGAGTCAAGTTTCGTATCAGCTATATGATTTGCAAATATTTCTCCCATTTTGTGGGTTATTTTTGCCCATTTTTGATATTGTTCATTGAGTCATAAAAATTTAATTTACTTGAAGTTCAGTTTATCAGTTTTTTTTCTTTTGTCATTGGTGCTTTTGGTGTCATATCTAAAAAATTGTTGCCTAAGGTCATGAAGATTCATTCTTGTGTATTTCTCTAAGAATTTTATAGTTTTAGCTCCTACATTTAGGTGTGTGAACCAGTTGAATGAAATTTTTTATACAGTGGTGGGCAAAAGTCTTTTTACAGTTGCGGTACGTAAAACAGCTTATTCTTGTATTTTCATTTATTGTATTATAACTATACACCTACTTTTGTTCACCTCTATATGGTGTGCAGTAGAATTCCAACTTCATCTTTTTTGCATGTGCATATTCAGCTGTTCTGTTACCATTTGTTAAAAAGACTATCCTCCTTTAAATTATTTTTGTTCTTATAAAAGGTTATTCTAAAAGCACTTTTGAAAATAATTTTTTTTAGGACTATTACATGCAACTTTATTTATATACACACACACACATACACACAGCCATATTTTTAAAATAATTCTTTATTGATGAAAGTGTTACAATGTCCCCTTTCCCCTCCTATTGACTCCCTCCAACTCACCAGCCCCAGGCCTTCAGTACCCTATTGTAAGTATCCATGGATTATACATATGTTTATATAAGGTCTTTAGTAGATTACCATCCAACTACCCACCCTCCCCCATCTTCCCTCAGATTCTTCACTCTCTTCCATGGTTCTGTCTCTAGACCCACTTTGTTCACCAGTTTATTTTGTTACTTAGATTCCACATGTGATTGTGATCAAGTGATACTTGTCTTTCTCTAACCGACTTATTTCACTTAGCATGATACTTTCCAGGTCCCTCCCTGCTATCTTAAAGAGTAAAATACTCTTTTTTTTTTTTTTTTTTTTTTTTTTTTTTTACAGCTGCCTAGAATGTACCACAGCTTTTTTATCCACTCATGTACTGATGGGCACTTGGTCTGTTTTTAGATCTTAGCTATTATAAATTATGCTGCTATGAACATAGGTAGGGGTACATACATTCTTTCTGATTGATGCTTTGGGTTTCTTAGGATATATTCCTAGAAGTAGGAAAATGGGGTCAAATGGCAGTTCCATATTTAATTTTTTGAGGAAACTCCATACTGTTTTTCCATAATGGTTGCACCAGTCTGCATTCCCACTGGCAGTGTACTAGGGTTACCTTTTCTCCACACCCTCACCAGCATTTTTGTCATTTGTTGATTTGTTGATGATAGCCATTCTGACAGGTGTGAGGTGATACCTCATTGTTGTTGTAATTTGCATCTCTTGGATGATTAGTGACTGAGCATTTTTTCATGTTTCTTGGCTATCTATATGCTTCTTTGGAGAAGTGTCTATTTAGGTCCTTTGTCCATTTTTTTATTGGCTTTTATTGTCTTCTGTTAAGTTGTATAAGTTCCTTATATATTTTCGATATTAACCGCTTATGAGATGTGTCATTGACAAATATGTTCTTCCTTACAATGGCTCTTTTTTCGTTTTATTGATGGTTTCTTTTGCTCTGCAGAAGCTTTTAAATTTGATGTAGTCCCATTTGTTTATTTTCTCCTTTGTTTCCTTTAGCTTAAGCAATGTATCTGTAAACATATTGCTATGAGAGATGTCTGAGATTTTGCTGTATATGATTTTCTCTAGGATTTTTATGATTTCCTGACTTAGATTTAAGTCTTTTATTTATTTGAGTTTATTAGTATGTATGGTGTAAGTTGGTGGTCTAGTTTAATTTTTGCATGTATCTGCCCAATTTTCCCAACACCATTTATTGAAGAGACTGTCTTTATTGTATGTTCTTGCTTCCTTTGTCAAATGCTAATTGAGTGTAGTGGCTTGGGTCAATTTCTGGGTTCTCTGTTCTATTCCATTGGTCTATATACCTGTACTTGTGGCAGTGCCAGGCTGTTTTGATTATGGTGGGTAGTATAATTTAAAATCTGGTATTGTGATTCTTCAACTTTTTTCTTTCTCAAGATTGTTGCAGCTATTCGAGCTCTTTTTTTTTTTTTTTTTTTTTTTTTTTTTTTTTTTAAATATATTTTATTGATATTTTACAGAGAGGAGGAAGGGAGAGAGATAGAGAGCTAGAAACGTCGATGAGAGAGAAACATCGACCAGCTGCCTCTTGCACACCCCCTACCGGGGATGTGCCCGCAACCAACGTACATGCCCTTGACCGGAATCGAACCCGGGACCTTTCAGTCCGCAGACCGACGCTCTACCACTGAGCCAAACCGGCTTCGGCTCGAGCTCTTTTTTGATTCCATATACATTTTTGAGTATTTGTTCTAGGTCTGTGAAATATGCCATTGGTATTTTAATGGGGATTGCATTGAATCTGTAAATTGCCATGGGTAGAATGGACATTTTAATGATGTTGGTTCTACCAATCCATGAACACAGTATATTCGTCCACTTGTTTATGTCTTCTTTTATATCTTTTTTCAACATCCTATAGTTTTCTTTTGCCTCCTTGGTTTAGTTTATTTCTAAATATTTAAAATTTTTTGATGCATTGGTAAATGGGATTATTTCTTTAGTTTCTCTTTCTGAGAATTCATTATTGGTGTATAAAAAAGCCATCAATTTTTGGGAGTTGATTTTGTATCCTGCTACATTGCCAAATTCATTTATTAAATCTGGTGGTTTTATGGTAGAGTCTTAGGGTTTTCTATATACAATATCATTTCATCTGTTGAAAATAATTTTTTAAAAGAAAGTCTAAAGATATAAATGATTGTTTTTAGTAATTCATATCCTCCCAAGGTAATTGTTTTGAAGAGTGCATATATTTGGTAGTTTTCTTCATGGAAGTTCAGTTACTTTTGCACCCCCTATTCCTCCCCTCGTAGCTCAGTTGTATAGAGCCTCATCCTAATACCCCAAGGTTGTGGGTTCCACACACCCCACAAACCCCCAGTCAGGACACATTAAAAAAATCAACCAATAAATGTGAATGCATAAATAAGTGGGACAACATACTCCTCTCCTCCTCTCCCCTCCAAGTCAATAAATTAAAAATAAAAGAATTCACTAAAAAAAAATTTTGCCTTACTTCTTCCAACACTACTCATGCTTGATTATTGCAGACTTTTGAGGGCTAATATTAGTGGTTCTTTTACTTTAAGACTGATATTTATCATTTTGTTTTTATTTATTTTTAAGATTTAATTTAATTTTTTCCCATCACCATTTATCACCTCTATATCCTCTTCCAACTCCTTTTACTCTTCTCCCTCCACAATCACCAACCTGTTTAATTGTTTTTAAAATTGTTAAATACTTAGTTTGAGAGGTCAGAAAGGGAAACTGATAATCAAAGCATTCATTCTAACTTAAACAATTAAAATATAATGGCACTAAAATAAAAATTATTTAAAATGATTAATTGAACCATTGGTTTTGTTTAACCGTTTTTTGTTTGAAGTATAACTTGTCATATCCTTCATAGCCACTGAAGAAAGGGGAGAAAGAAAAGAAAAAAAGCAATTTGGAACTCTTCAAAGAAGAATTGAAACAGTAAGTTTACTAGGGCTGAGAATGGCTATCAGGTATACTGAGCTGATACCTACAAGAGGACAGGTATGAAGAATGGAGCATACCAGTTAGCTACTGCTAACTGGTTTACCATGAGGTTTCTTTAGATATTATAGTGGTATTTTATGGAGTATGTTTGAAAATGTATCATCCAGCATTTGGGTTGCTTGCATTATGTGGATGCAATTAAATTAATTAATGTCCGGAGTCCTGTTTGCAGTGGAAACAAAAGTTACTGAAGAGTAGGGATAAGAAATGGTCAGACTTGGCCAAAAAAGAACAAATTCTTGGTTTTAATGTTGAATTTCTTCCTCACCTTCAAAATGGGCGGTGTAGTTCATTGATTATATGATATATCAGAAATTTTCTCAAAACTCTGTAATAGCTGAGGGTCTCTAATCTTATTTGTAGGTAATATCTGGAAAAGTTCTGTTTTTATTAAATGTGAACAAACAAATTTTGACTCATTATTAGTGATTATAAATATTTTCAACAGAATTCAAGAAGAGCGTGATGAGAGACATAAAACAAAAGGCAGGTTAAGTCGATTTGAGCCTCCTCAGTCAGATTCTGATGGTCAGCGGCGTTCCAGTAAGTTACATTTATTTTAATGTTTATATTTGTGATTGATTATTCTGAAAACTAAGAATTGTTTTTTGTTTTTTTTTAAGTGGATGCGCCTTCAAGAAGAAATAGATCATCTGGTGGTAATACCGTTTTTTACTCTTTTAATTAATAAAAATTGTCTAGACTTGTATTTTCAAATTATAATTTTTATTTTATAATTTTTGCTCTTTGCTTAGTTCTCGATGATTATGCACCTGGGTCACATGATGTGGGAGATCCAAGCACTACTAATTTATACCTTGGGAATATTAATCCACAGGTAATATTAGGAAAGTACAATGAATGTTGGTTTATATGCTTTTATACTTTTTTGAAGAAAACTGCTGTGTGAATCAGTAAAAAAAAAATAAAGTGAAGAATCTGATGTAAGCAAATTTGATAGAAGTAGTCTTTAAAGTTATCTTGCTGGTATGGGCTGAATTGTCTTGCTATTCTTTTTAAATATATATTTTATTGATTTTTTTACAGAAAGGAAGAGAGAGGGATAGAAAGTTAGAAACATCAATGAGAGAGAATCGACTAGCTGCCTCTTGCACACCCCCTACTGGGGATTGCCCGCAGCCAAGGTACATGCCCTTGACCAGGATAGAACCTGGGACCCTTCAGTCCGCAGGCTGACGCTCTATCCACTGAGCCAAACCGGTTTCAGCTGTCTTTTATATGTTAATTCTTTTTCCCGCATCAGTGTTAATTATATTGTGAGGGATTTATAATATAATTATAAATAAGAATTTATAATATAATTATAAATAAGAATTATATATATATATATATATATATATATATATATATATATATATATATTATATTCTTAAAATTATATATCTTCTGGGACCTATTACATATTTAGCATTTTCTCTGTTCTTGATTTACACTGGTAGCTGGGTGCTAGAAAAAGAAAAGGTGATGAGATTTTTTTGTCTTTCTTTCATTGCCAACAAATAAAAAATCCTTAACCTAAATGTGGTAATTACTGCTGCCTGAGAAAACATTCAGCAATGCCCAAACAGACTTATTTTAGATGCAGGGATCTCCAAAGGAGAAATGGGAGGTAGAGGTGTGCTTTTGATTTTTCTAGCCACTCAGCCTCTTTACTTAGACTACTTGTTTACATAAAATAGTGAATGTTTGATATGAAAAGATTTGGGAATGCCCCATAAGGGGAGGATTTTATTTGTATAGCAGTCCTAGTGCTTGAATGAAAAAAATGTAGCATTAATATGTCTCTTCATTTTGCAAAAACTACTTTGCTTTCTGTTGCGTAGAATTCTTTCTTCCCTTTTTGGCATTCAAAAAACTCTTATGCCTTTGAATAGATGAATGAAGAAATGCTGTGCCAAGAATTTGGAAGATTTGGACCATTAGCCAGTGTGAAAATTATGTGGCCTAGAACTGATGAAGAAAGAGCAAGGGAGAGAAATTGTGGCTTTGTGGCCTTTATGAATAGAAGAGATGCTGAAAGAGCTTTAAAAAATTTAAATGGTAAGAAGACTTTTATTTTTCATTTATAGAATTCAGACTTTTTTTTGGTTCTGGAAAGTATGATATAAAGCTTTTGGATAAACAAATGGACCAGAAATTGAAAGGTTAAAAAATTCATTTAAATCCCTGAAATCTTTTATTTTCTTCTGTGAGTTATTGCCAAGGTGATCTTTCTTTTTTTTCTTGTAGGAAAGATGATTATGTCTTTTGAAATGAAGTTAGGTTGGGGTAAAGCTGTGCCTATTCCTCCACATCCAATATACATTCCGCCTTCTATGATGGAACATACGCTTCCCCCACCTCCATCAGGACTGCCATTTAATGCGCAGCCTAGAGAGCGGTTAAAAAACCCCAATGCTCCCATGTTACCACCACCTAAAAACAAGGAGGATTTTGAGAAGGTAATTTAAAAAAATGTACATAGGGCACATATATTTGTAAATACTAAATTTGTGGTAGTATTTCTTTTCAACTATTATATAGAAAATGTGTAGTTCTGTTTGGCAACTCTTAAGTAGATGTGTGTTCCCTGCCTTAGCCCATGGATATCCTGTTTGAAATACTAGGTCCTTTTTTTTTTTATTGTGGCTACCATTTCTTTTTGACCACTTATTAAGTCCAGCTCCCCCCACTTCCTTATTTGTCCATTCTTATATCCTGGTTTGCTTAAGTACAATACATAAATTTACTTTGTTCTGAGAAAGTGATACTTTGTATTTAGTTAGTGACTTTTCAGTTAGAAATACCTCCTAAATAGCTAAACTGTTTGGATGGCAGCTAGCTAACAGAGTTCTCAAGATATGAGGTATTAGAATATTTTAGAGCATATGTGATTTTTAAAAACATTAACTACTCTAGTAAAAGCAAAGGGTGAGTATTTTTTTTTAAATTCAACATAAAACCAACTTATTTTCAAGTTGTAAGAATTTGTTGGTTGCATTATGAGTTTGCAACTGGCTGGTTTTAAAGGCTTGGGAACTTAAAATGACAGGGCTGGTTTTAAAGGCTTGGGAACAAAGTAGCAAACTGTTATGGTCAGAAGCAAGTTAATTATTTCACAAATTAAAATCTTTATCTGATAATTCTCAGTGTAGTACCTAATTCAGTGCACTGATGTGCATTCTGGCAGGAATGTTCTGATTCTTTGCATTTGGTGAACATTTATTGTTCACTGGACACATCAATTTGATTTTATGTAATTGCTTAGTGTATAATTAGTTCAAAAGCAGTGATTGCCTTCAAAACTTGTGATTAGATGTGTAGTATTTTCATTGCATATGTATATTTTTGCTTGTTACTTGTTAACAATACTCACATATTCTATGTTTATTATCTGATGTGACTTCATATACAGACTCTGTCGCAAGCCATAGTCAAAGTGGTTATCCCAACAGAAAGGTACATGTTTTTCTTTATTATTACTGATCTAAATATAGACAATATCCCCTTCTGAATTAAAAGAAAAAATGGTGTTGAGGAAAAGGTGATATCTTGACTGAGCAATGGTTCCTTCCCAGTACTTTTTTGGGGTATATGTGAAATTTAACTAACAAGTATACTGTGTAATTTTATGTCATTATTTGTTTTGCTTTTGTTACCATTGTAAGGATTTTTATAGTTTGGTAGTTAGAATGTGTTTAATAGATTTGCTTTGGTATTTTTAGTTTAATTGCATTAGATTATTATGATGGGAAAGTAAGGATTTTAAATGTATCTTACATCTTAGATAACTTTCTAGTTTGACCTAATCTGTTATTTTTCTTTGTTTCTGTGTTTAATATGCAACCTTAGTTTGAGTTTCCTTATTAAAGACATAGCTTTGTGTTTTTTTCTGATTGAATTTAAGAAGAAATTCCTATTCGTTTCATGACCACTAAACCTATGAGGAACTTTTAAAATGATGATTAAGTTTTTTGGAATTCTTTTATTTTCCTTTCTTTTTCTTTTCAACATAATGTTGAAGCAGAAGAATTCATGCTGTAGGTATGCTCTTGCTCAGTCAAGTTAAGCCTTTTCCCAAACACAGGAACACAACACTGGTTGAATAATAAATGAACACAAAAGACTACCAAATTCTCTTTGACATTGGCCTTGGTGAGCAACACCAGCTGAACTGTCTGCGGCAGCGGGGGACCAGGAAAACATCATGGGATGGATTGGGAAAGTATACAGTTTTTGACCAGACATTGGTACGATCAACTGCAATAAATGTGGTTTTATTTTAACTGAGAAACACTTCTTTTTTGTGTTTTTTTTTGTTGTTGTTGTTGTTGTTGCCCAGAATAAGATAATTACCATTTTAAAATAAAATAGTACACTTAAAATATATCACCTTTTTGTACTACACTGTTTCATTCTGATAGTAAAGTCACCCTTCTAAAATAAGAAACACAATCTTAAGGAAAAGAGTGTGATTACAGTTATTTAATAATGTTGGGTTCAAATTAGAAATAACTAATTGTCAGATTCTGATTTTAAATAATTATATGCAACATTTTTAAACTTGAAATTTTCTAAAAATAAATTTCATCAGTTACAAGCCTATTTAAAACTATAAGTGGGTTTTTTCTTCCACTGATAAATCATTCACAGGAAAGTATATTGTAGCATTCAAAAAGCATATATTCAGTAGTAGCTTTACATGTTGCTCAGCTTTTTTGTAAACAAAGTTTTGAGTACATTTTGCTAAATGTCTTGACACACTATTAGAACGAATTCTTTGTTTTAAACTTGCTAAATCATTTTTAAATCTATCTTTAATACCTAAGTCAAGTTAGTTTTACTTAATTCATACAAGTTTCTGAATGTATAGCATTTATCCACCTAGAAAGTGACTTTATACTGTATATTGTGATACATAAGATTTCCCTGTATTGTAATTTGACACATAGCAGTAGGAGTTTTGGAACTGAATCATAACTTTGCACTAACTAGATCTGAGAATATGTTCATTTTCATTTGGAAATCAGGAACTGCACATTTGTAGAGCAATTAATATTTCCGTGAAAGAAAAAAAACAACTTAGGTTTAAAATTAAATAATGCTTTTTGTTTGAACAATTTAAAGTTGAATCAATAGTTTATAAGTACGTAGTTCCCCTTTGGAAAGATTAAACCTTCATAGAATTTTTTTTTTTTTTTTTTAACCATTTTTAGGTTCCTTTAGGAGGTGAAAAAATTCCCCACCCACTATGTAGAGATTTTAGTGTTCACTTAAGTAGGTTTGTTTGAAAACTGAGAGAAAATAATTATAATAAGCATGAAATAAATTATTTTATTATTCATGTTCTCTGAATCAGACATTCTAGACCAAAAAAAATTTTGTCTTATTCTATAACTAGATGTATATTCTAGCAGTTACATAAACTTAGTTTCTTGATTTGAGCTGGGAATGCTAAAGGTGAAATTTTATGTGCCTTGTACCAAGAGCCAATATCCCTTTGCTTTTCCCAATTATTATTTGCCAATTCTATACTGGGGACTGGTGAATGAGAAATCAAGAGTAGCTTATAGTAAGTTGAGTGATTTTGTCTGACATTATAACCAATGTCTAAAATTCTATTTGGAGTCTAATAAGGTATGATTTTAGAACCCAGCTACAGATTTTAGAAATAAAGACTGTCTATGAGGCCAACTCATAAAATGAATATATTAAAAAGTTGCAAGTTTATTTTTGGCTTAAATATTGGAAAGTAATTGAAAAATATGAAGGGTATCCCACCATGTCCCTTATTTTGAAATATTTTAGAAAGAGGACTCCATTTATTTAAGGCTTTGTCAATATAATTGCTTCATTGATTCATAATGCACAGGCAGAATTATATATGTCATGAATTGTGTGAAATAGTTTAAAGTATGGTCCAAAGAGATATCTCATTAAAGGTTAGATTCAATAAAAACTCTATCTGCTATATGTGTACCAGAAAAGCACAGGAGTTGGATAGAGTTTTTATTAAGTCAGGCCTTAAATTTGTTAAATAGTTTGGCATTTTTATAAGTGATAGTCATGTACATACCATTTCAACACCACGAAAAGTGCTTGGTTTAAGAATATTTTAAAACCGAGATAGTGTATAAGATTTTAGATGGTTGTGATAACATGTAAGGTCTAAATTAGTGACACTATATATTTGCAGCTTTTAGTTAGTTGTGATTCATAATTTAATGTTTTGCATTTAGAAAATTAAATTAAATGGCATTTAGAAAGTTAAATCTTTGTTGTTATGAAGCTGTGTTGTTATTTTCTACCCTTCCTTTACCATTCCTCCCCCACCCTTTCCCCTGTCCCTCTGTCCTCACTCCCTCTTAATGCACAAGGCATTAACATGCTCCAGGTTACTTTTTTTGTATAAAATTCTGTATTAGCAGAGTAATTTTTTTCTGCACAATATAGTAACTTATGTCAAGTGTAGTTTTATTTAGTGTTAGGTCTGAATCCATTTTCTTTAACTGTGTTGTTGTTGTAGGAATTTGCTCGCCTTGATACATCGAATGATAGAGTTTGTTGTACGTGAAGGGCCAATGTTTGAAGCTATGATTATGAACAGAGAAATCAACAATCCCATGTTCAGGTGTGCATTTTTTGTGTGTGTGTTTTAAAATCCTATATAATAAAAGGATAATATGCAAATTGACCAAATGGCAGAGCAACCAGTCACTATGACATGCACTGACCACCAGGGGCAGATGCTCAATTCAGGAGCTGACCCCTGGTGGTCAGTGCTCTCCCACAGTGGGAGCTCTGCTCAGCCAGAAACCTGGCTCATATCTGGTGAGCACAATGCCTCTGTGGCAGGGCTAACGATGTCCAACTGACGGCTTAGTCGGACATCCTCTGAGGGCTCCCAGACTGCGAGAGGGCACAGGCTGGGCTGAGGGTCCCCCTCCTCCCCATCTCAGTGCACACATTTCGTGCACTAGGCCTCCAGTACATATATAACAAAATTTACCATTTTTAAGTGTACAGTTCAGTGGCATTAAGTATGTCCACATTGTTATGTAACCATCACCAGTAATTCCTTTCCAAAACTTTTTTCGTCTTCCATAATTGAAACTTTGTGCCACTTAAACAACTCCCCATTCCTTGATTCACCTAGCTTCTGATAGTCACCATTCCGCTCTCTTTGAATTTGGTTACTCTAGGTACCTCATGTAAGTGGAATCAGATGTGCTTTGGTGACTGGTTTATTTCACTTAATATAATGTCTTCAAGGGTTATGCATGTTGTAGTATTTGTCAAAATTTCATTACTTTAAAGTCTAAAATATATTCCATTGCATGCTTTACCACATTTCATTTATAATCAGTATGAATTTTAAAAGTACTTTTCATTTTTGGAATTAGATATATTTTCAAGAATAAAGTTACAAAAGTATCAGGTTATTTTTGCAATGAGATGAAAGGCAGATTTATAATTGAACTAGAATGTATTTTGGTCAGTTTTCCATCTGATTTTGCCTTAGTTAATAAAAAAAGCATTGTTTTTAGCATTCTCTAGGAGGAAAATGCATTTCATTATGCTTTTCAATGAGTTTTTCATAAGTGATATATATTTAGTAGGATAAATAAGGTTTATAGGAAATTGCTTATCTTCTTAAGACATTCATTTAATATGTGTGTGTGGGTTTTTTGTGTGAATGAATCAAAATTATACCTATTTTATTTACACCCCCCTAAGTAGTTTTTTTTAAAAAACACCGTTTAAAATTATATCTTGGGAAAATATCTTTATTGTCAGACACAGTATCTTGCACATTTTATTGAACAATACAATTGTAAGATTTAGCAAGATTCATATATGCCTTGTGAGTATTAATATCAGTCATGAAGGCAGTCTGGGGCTGGGTGAGGAAGGATATAGATGGCACATAACATGAATAGGAATTTCTCTTCAGTGAGCTTTGCTTTTGGTTTTATTTAGAACTAAATAGGCAGATATTTTTCATTTGATAATAATTACTTGAATGCAATTCCACCTTAAATAATCTGATGTTTGTTTTATTTTAGATTCTTATTTGAAAACCAGACACCAGCCCATGTTTACTATCGGTGGAAGCTTTATTCTATTCTTCAGGCAAGTAGAATCAGTTACTTTGTTAATTTTGACTGAGGTATTGGAGCTTTCTAATAACATTCTGGATGTTTATTAGGGAGATTCTCCAACTAAGTGGCGGACGGAAGATTTTCGTATGTTCAAAAATGGATCTTTTTGGAGGCCACCACCATTAAATCCATACCTGCATGGGATGTCAGAAGAGCAAGAAACAGAAGCTTTTGTAGAGGAGCCTAATAAAAAGGGAGCACTTAAAGAAGAGTAAGATTTTATTCCCTTTCTTTTACATATTTAGGAAAGTCCTTTAGTGGTGCTTTAATAGTTTTAGTAAGTTGTTAATCTTAAAGTTTTTGAATGTGCTTAAACATCTTAGCAAGAGTAAATGTGTATTTTATTGACCTCTTCCTATTGATAAAATTGGTAATAAAATTTGTGATGATTTTTTAAGCAGTGATTCTCTAGCAGTGGAATAATTCATATTCTTACAGAAATTATCTCAATAGACTTAAAATTCTTGTTTCTCTGAATGCAACATAAAGAGGAAAAATTGTTGTCTGGCTTAGTAAGGTCAGATTGTTGATTGTTGAAACATCTCTACAGTATACAGTATATGGCCACCATAGGTGCATATATTCTTAACAGTGCTCTGCCAGCTCTGGGACAGTGAAATTAGCCTGGTTTAAGAAGCAGAAATAGCCGGGACCGGTTTGGCTCAGTGGATAGAGCGTCGGCCTGCGGATTGAAAGGTCCCAGGTTTGATTCCGGGCAAGAACATGTACCTTGGTTGCGGGCACATCCCCAGTAGTGGGTGTGCAAGAGGCAGCTGATGGATGATTCTCTCTCATCAGTGTTTCTAACTCTTTATCCCTTTCTTTTCCTCTCTAAAAAAATCAATAAAATATATTTAAAAAAAAAAAAAAAAAACAGCAGCAGAAACATCAACAGTACAAAGATTGAAATTTCTTTTTCAATTTCACTGTATGTGTGTGCCTGCAAGTGGTATTTTGTGGAAGAGTCACACTCAAGGGGCCAAAGAGGCACACTGCCCTAGGATATGAGGGAACTCCAGAGGCTGTCATCCAAGGCTACAGGCAACCGTGGACAGTAGTATACTGGGAACAAAGAAAGGGCCTTAGTCTCTGCTGTTTAAGAAACGCCTCCTAAAAGGTTTAAATGGCTCTAAGCTGTACAAGCATAGTTTGCCTATGACCTACTCATTCTTGAGAACTTTGGGAAATCAGCAGTTAGAATAGCTAGTTCAGTTTCAGTATTTATAATACAAGTAATTTGAAAACAAATTTAAACTTCCCACATGGTCAGATAGTGTATTCTGCAGCAGTTAGGAAGTGAGTGAACACTTTGGGTCAGGATGAGCCTGATGTCTGAGCTATCACATGCTTAGACTGGGTTGGACATGGGAGTCACAGGCATTGCCCTTGCATCCTCCCTGTACCTTGTGATCAGAAATGAATAAATTATTTTTAAAGAAAAAAAATGTAACTACTAAATTTTCAGTGCAAGTTCTGTATACCTCATGGAAAAAGAGTTTTTAGCATATAGGATTATATACTTTACTGCATAGTCTATAAATCTGAATCTAACTGCATTGATGCATTGTTTATGAGAGCATTTGGTATGGAGAATTATAGTATTTGAAGTATATTTGCTTCTGAAGATGTATGTTCATTATTGTGACTAGGGGTCCACAAAACAGCCCACAGGCTAAATCTGGCTGTCTTCTGTTCTTTTTTTTTTTTTTAATATATTTTATTGTTTTTTTTACAGAGAGGAAGAAAGAGAGATAGAAAGCCAGAAACGTTGAGAGAGAAACATCGACCAGCTGCCTCTTGCACACCCCCCACTGGGGATGTGTCCGCAACCCAGGTACATGCCCTTGACCGGAATCGAACCTGGGACCTTTCAGTCTGCAGACTGACACTCTACCACTGAGCCAAACCGGTTTCGGCTGTCTTCTGTTCTTATAAAGTTTTTGTTGTTGTTGTTTTTGTTTTTAATATATTTTATTGATTTTTTACAGAGAGAGGGATAGAGAGTTAGAAACATCGATGAGAGAGAATCATAGATCAGCTGCCTTTTGCACACCCCCTACTGGAGCTGTGCCTGCAACCACGGTACATGCCCTTCACCGGAATTGAACTTGGGACCTTTCAGTCCACAGGCTGATGCTCTATCCATTGAGCCAAACCGGTTTCGGCTGTTCTTGTAAAGTTTTATTGCAACATGGTCATGTCCATTCCTTTCCATGCAGTCTATGGCTGCTGTGGTGGTGTTCTAGCAGTCAAGTAAATGTGACAGAAACCATATGGATTGCAAAGCCTAAACTATTTACTCTCTGATTCTTCACAGGAGAAATTTTATCAGTCCCTGTTTTAGCCTTTCCTAATGCTAAGTAGAAATGCTAAAGTAACAGACTCCCTTCAAAGGAAGGTAAAGAACAGGAAGGTTCTTTTTCAATGGAGTGATTTAATTTGTAAATTAAAAGTCACTGGAATTGTTTATTAGTTTAATGCCAGGAAAATTATTCTACCTCATATAAGTTCTTTAAAAAAAAAAAAAAAAAAGTAACATATTTGGGGGACTTACTACAAATCAGATTTAACTCACTTTAATTGTCAGAATTATTTTACTGATTGGGTTTTAAAGAAATTAAGTTTATGAGCAGTAACTATAATGACATTTGAAATTTGTATTTAGACAGAGGGACAAATTAGAAGAAATCCTGCGGGGGTTAACTCCAAGGAAAAATGATATTGGAGATGCAATGGTTTTCTGTCTAAATAATGCTGAAGCTGCTGAAGAAATAGTGGATTGCATTACTGAGTCATTGTCGATTCTAAAGACACCCCTTCCCAAAAAAGTATGATTTTTGTTTTTTTATGAAACCATTTAAGCAGTTGTTTATTCTGATGGACTTTGGTTAATATTATTACATTGTTAATTTTTAAGTCTAATTACAAAATTCAAAAATACACATTTTTAAGAAAAGGAAGTAATATGGATTATATAAACCACTTAACTAGTTAATTGTTTATAAGATATTGCTGGATTCCTAACTGAGTAGATTATTGAGTTATATATCTAATTTTAAAATTATAATCCCTCTTGAATTTAGAAATTCTGACAAGTAAAAGAAGATCTGCTTTTAATTCCTAGATCTAACTAGTCTTGGATGGCTTATAAGTTAAAATGAATGCTTACTTTGCCAAGGTTCCTCATCATATAGTAATTAATGAATCAATTTGTCATTCATTTAGACATCATTTATTGAGTTGTGTGCCATCTGATTTTTCTTAATTGATTAGGTAAAAGGGGAGATAATAGTTGACTCTTTGGATTGAAATTGGTTTCCTTTTTTATATGAAGAACTTGAGCCAGGAAATCTTTTCCATTGTAGTCTTATGTTAATTTGCAGACAAGTTAACAGGTTGAAATGTAAATGAGTTAAAGTTTTATCCCTGCAGAAATCATGATTGTGGAATTTCTTATAACTGTTCTAATTAGTCATGATTATTAAATTGTAAACATTAGCCTTATAACGCTGATTCCAAAAAATTCAGTATGGATTTTTTTTCTAAGATATGTTGTTTGCTGATTGTTTTTATTTTTTAATTGGTTTTATGTTATCTTTTGGTATTCTAGATTGCCAGGTTATATTTGGTTTCTGATGTTTTGTACAACTCTTCAGCAAAAGTTTCCAATGCTTCATATTATAGGAAATTGTAAGTATAATTATGTAAATTGATATTTCTGAAATAAAATACTTTACGGTAAGAAGTTCAGAAGAGAGCACTGTTTTGTTAACACCCTCCAATAATAAATAATTTGAATTTCTTTGTAGTCATAAAATATTCTAAAAAATTGGATTGCATTCATTGAACTAAACCTCTTTCAAGCTAAAGTAGCAGTTTTTTTGAAAGGTTTTATTGGTTAACTTGGTAACAAGACAAATAGGACCAGTTAAAAAGTAACTTTATAATAAATAAATTGAAACAATGGCAAAGGAAGAGACAAAAAAACAAAGCATTATCTATCTATCATCATTATGTTGTTGTAGTTCATTGCTAATGCTTTCCTTGGCAATAGGAAATTATGTTGCTTAATGTAATTAATTTAGAACTCTTTCATAATTCCCCAGAGTTCCTTTTGGTGTTTATTTTATGAATTAGGGGGATTTTTTTTTCTCCCTTAACAAACTGAGAGGAAATTTGGAGATCTGGGTTCTAATCTTCGCTCTCCTTTTTTTTTTTTTTTTTTTTTTTTTTTTTTTTTTGCCTTGGAAAAGTCACTTAACTCTTTCCTTTTTTATAAAACAAAGAGTTCAGACTAGGTGGCTCAAGGTGTCAGATGTAAAGTTCCTTGCTAATCAAGGAACTACTACTTATGACTCTTTTGGGGATTTTGCAGGAGAAAAATTTAGTATTAGGTGTTAAAGCAGTTGAATTATAGATTTAGAGATAAAGCACCCAATTCTTGATTTTTACAAGATTATTTAATTTATTGGTAGGTTTTGTTGTTTGTTTGTTTTTTAGGTCCGGGAGGGGTTTGCAGTAGATAAGGATTTTTAAACAAATTCTGTTTTAAGAATATATTATTTCAATTTCAGTTTTGAAACAAAGTTATGTCAGATATTTTCAGACCTCAATGCTACCTATCGTACAATTCAAGGCCATTTACAGTCTGAAAATTTTAAGGTATGTTTACTGTTTTATTATTTTTGCTATCTTACTGTTGAATATGGGGGATGGGAACTGAGAAGCACATTGGAGGGCTAGAAAAGTATATATATAAGATATACTAGAATTTGTGCACCAGTGGGGTAACTCGGCCTGGCCTGTGTGATCTGGCTGAAAACAGCTCTCTGACATCCCCCAAGGGATCGTGGATTGTGAAAGAGCACAGGCCGGGCCAAGGGACCCCACTGATGCATGGTCGGGGCTGGGGAGGGATGTGGGAGGTTGGCCAGCCGGGGAGGGACCTTGGAAGAACTCCAGGATATGTCCAGTTCATCTTGCTCAGACCCGATCAGCTGGACCCCAGCAACGAGCTAACCTATTAGAGTGTCTATCCCCTGCTGGTTAATGCATGTCATAACAACTGGTTGAGTGGCCTTAGCATATTGAATGGCTGACTGGTCAATTGGACACTTAGCATATTGGACTTGTATTATATAGGATATAAAACATAACTTGCCTGATTCAGAAATTATGATAGTTATTTTCTTTAAATTGTAAAAAGAATTTTGACTTAGTGAAAAATTCAACAAGTTGTGTTATTTTAATGAGATGAAGTTTGAGACGTTGTCATAAATAATTTGTTATGTTTTCCTATTTGTTTAGCAACGGGTAATGACCTGCTTCAGAGCATGGGAAGATTGGGCAATTTATCCAGAACCATTTTTGATCAAATTACAAAATATTTTCTTAGGACTTGTAAATATTATTGAAGAAAAGGAAACAGAGGTAGGTACTCAGTGTATTTGTGTGGTTATTATATTTTACTAGAGGCCTGGTAAACAAAATTCATGCATTGGGTGGGTGGTCCCTCAGTCCAGCCTGCAGCCTCTCCAATCTGGGATCTATTGGTATTGGGCCTAAACCTCACAATCCAAGAACTGCTGGCTCCTAACCACTTGCTTACCTCCATGCCTGATTGCCCCTAACTGCTTCTCCCTGCCAGCCTGATCACCCCTTAACTGCTTCCTGCCAGCCCAGTTGCCCAACTGCCCTCCCCTGCAGGCCTTGTCTTCCCCCGCCCCAATTGCCCTCCCCTTCCAGCCTGAATGCCCCCAACTACCTTCCCCTGCTGGTCTTGATCTCGCCCCAACTGCTCTCCCCTGCTGGCCTGATGTTGTTCCCAATTGCCCTTCCCTGCTGGTCTGATCACCCCTAACTGCCTCTGCTTCCTTGATAACCCCTAACTTCCCTCCCCTATAGGCCTGATCTCTCCCCTAACTGCCCTCCTTTGTGGGCCAATTTGGTTATGATTGGTCAGTTTCTATGCCAGTCAGTGTCTCTGGGTGTGTATCAACAGGGCTGATCAGTAGACCTTGTGGCAGCCTGGAAAGAAATGGAGGTGCAGCTGCTGATCAGTCCTAGAAAGAAAGAGAGAAGCAAGTGCTGATCAACAATTGCCACAGAGGCTATTGATCAAACCCTCCTTCTCTCTTCAGGTCTCTCTCCAGGCCTGTTTCTTAGCCCCCTCAGCAGTCAGTGCTGGGTCTCCATGGCAACCCATCGCTGACTGCAGGACTGACTTCCGGTTGCTCTGCAGGACCTACTTCCTGTTGCTCAAGCCTCCCAGTCATTGCGGATGTGACAGACCCAGGGTTTTTACATGTTAGGATGGTTTTTTATTTTATTTATTTATTTATTTATTTATTTATTTATTTTTCTTTAATATATTTTATTGAATTTTTACAGAGAGGAAGGGAAAGGGATAGAGAGCCAGAAACATCGGTGAGAGAGAAACATCCACCAGCTGCCTCCTGCACACACTCCCCTCTCCCCCCCCTCCCCAAGCGGGGATTTGCCTGCAACCACAGTACATGCCCTTGACTGGAATCGAACCTGGGACTCTTCAGTCTGCAGGCCAACGCTCTATCCACTGAGTCAAACCGGTTAGGGCTGTTAGGATGATTTTTATATGTTGATTTCAAAGAGAAATAGAGGAAAGAGAGAGAAAACATTAGAAATCTTGATTTATTATTCCGCTAATTTATGCATTCATTGGTTGATTCTTGTATGTGCCATGACTGGGGATCAAACCTGCAGCCTTGGTATACCGGAGTGATATTCTGAACCAGCTGTGCTATCCAGCCAGGGCCTTGTCTGATTATTTTAAAATTTACTTCTGGGCATGCTATGGAGGTGTGATATGTTACAGATAGAACATTTCTTCACAAAAATATTTACTTTTTACCACTAAATAGTAGATTTTTGTTCCTAGAATTACTAGAACTCACTACTTGAGATTATTTGTCACAGAAATTCTCTATTTTGTGTCCTTATGTGAAAATCAGTGACTAGTTTTTTATTTGATGTTATGAAAAGATTTACTGTATACCAGTAGAAAACAAGTAATTCAGAATCTATGTAGTAGGATTTTATTTTGTTAGACTAAAGAATCCTATGTAATAAAACCCTAATATGTAAATTGATGGGACAGCAGAAATACTGGCAGAACTACTGGTTGCTATGATGCACACTGACCACGAGGGGGCAGACACTCTATGCAGGAGCTACCCCCTGGTGGTCAGTGCACTCCCACAGCTGGAGCACTGCTCAGTCAGAAACTGGGCTCCTGGGTGATGAGCGTAGCGGCAAGTCGAGCAGGTAAGAGCTAGAGCGAGGAGTCCCGGATTGCAAGCGGGTGCAGTCCAGGCTGAGGGACTTCTTCCTCATCATCCCCGCATGAAGCTCTAGTAACTATATAAGTATGTATGTACATGAAAAGTTGTACCACAATGATAGTGGATTCTTTTCATCACCATTCTGTTGCTTTTTACCTCCTCAGTAGTTCTTGAATCTCTCATATTTATAATTCTAATCCAGCTGTCATATTTTTACTTTCTTCCTTACAAGATACTCCTTTTTTTTTTTTTTTTAACCCTTTGCACTCCGCTGTCCCTTCTCGGGGGACATCGGAATTCTAGCATATCACTCGGATGTCCCCTCTCAGGGGACATTGCAGTTTATTAGTGATTATGGGGAATTGAGTTAATTCAACGCACGTTTCGCAAAGTAGCGTCGAGTAGCTGGTAGCCAATGTCCAGAATGGTTCGGAGTGCAAAGGGTTAATACATTTTATTGATTTTTTTACAGAGAGGAAGGGAGAGAGATAGTGAGCTAGAAACGTGGATGAGAGAGAAACATCAATCAGCTGCCTCTTGCACACCCCTACTGGTGATGTGCTCGCAACTAATGTACATGCCCTTGACCGGAATCGAACCTGGAACCTGTCAGTCTGCAGACAGACGCTCTATTACTGAGCCAAACTGGTTTCTGCTCAAGATACTCCTAATTGGCATCCATACTCCAACCACCTGGTCCTTGTGTCAATTTCTTTTTATTTTTTCTTCAATGTACAATGTTTCCTCGTACCATACATCTTTTTTTATTTTACCTGAGATCTTCAGGCCTCAGTTTAATGTCAGAATATTCTCTGATCTCTTTAGGTGAAACTACTTATTATGTACTCTGATAGTATGATGTACCTCCTTGTTTTAGCATTCATCCTAGTTGCAGCTATATATATACTAGAGGCCTGGTGCATGAAATTTGTGCACTCGGGGGGTCCCTTAACCCGGCCTGTACCCTCTTGCAGTCAGGAACCCTCGGGGGATGTTTGACTGCCAGCCCAGGGAGTGGGCCTAAACTGGCAGTTGGAATTCCTTAGCGCTGCTGCACAGGCAGGAGAGGCTCCCGTCACTGCCACTGCATTCCCCAGCTGTGAGCCCAGCTTCTCATTGAGAGGCAATTACCCCTGTGGGAGGGCACTGACCACCAGGAGGCAGCTTCTGCACTGAGCGTCTGCCCTCTGATGGTCAGTGCACGTCATAGCAACTGATCATTCTGCCATTTGGTTGATTTGCATATTAGCCTTTTATTATATAGGATAAGATTGTTGTGAATATCTGGTTGCATGGCTCTCCCCTCTCCCCAAATTCTAAGCTCTATGATAGAAGAGACCAAGGGACCAAGCTTGTTTTTCACTCATTTTATACTCAGTGCCTCACATGGTACCTGGCATCAGTAAACATAAATAATGCATGAATGAATGATTGGTGTTTCTTTGTCACAGTGGATGATAAAGCATATTCTTTCTCATTGATTTTTAGAAAGTGCAAGGGAGGGAGGGACGGAATGTGAGAGAAACATCGATGTAAGAGAGACGTTTTCTCTCTCACAAGCCCCATCTGGGACAGGGATTGAACCTGCAGCTCAATTATGTGCTTCTGACTGGGAATCAAAACCAGAGACCTTTGGGTGCTCAGCCTGAGCACACTGGCCAGGGCATAAAATACAAGATGGGGCAAAGTAGATTTATAGTTGTGAGTACTCAAAACACAGTTTATTCTTGTATTATTACTTATTAAGTACTAAAGGCCTGGTGCATGAAATTCCTACAGGGTTAGGGTCCCTAGGCATGACTGACTATCAGTGCCAGTCTGTGGGGCAACTGGCGAGCCAATTCAGGTTCTTCAGGCTGGCACCCACCTTGGCTGGCCTGTGGGCTGGGGGCAGCTCCTGGGCATCTGTCCCCTGGTGGTCAGTGTGCATCATAGCTACTGGTCATTTTGCTGTTCGGTCGATTTGCATATTAGGTTTTTATTATGTGGGATTGTATTATTTTCCATACAAACAACTGTAAACCTACTTTTGCTACTCTCTTGTCCTCACATTGGACCTGGGAATATGGGTATCCGTTTGGCCTGTTTATTCTATACTGCGAATTCATTTTTAGCAATCTGACTTCAGTAAGTTGAAAATATTACTGTTGTGTGTGTTTCCATAGGATGTACCAGATGACCTTGATGGTGCTCCTATTGAAGAAGAACTTGATGGTGCACCTTTGGAAGATGTGGATGGAATTCCTATTGATGCTACTCCCATTGATGATCTTGATGGAGTCCCTATAAAAAGTTTTGATGATGATCTTGATGGAGTGCCTTGTAAGTACAGACTTCAGACTGATTAAGTCTAAATCTGTTAATACCTAAGTTTTATTCCAAAACTCTTGAATGTCCACACAAGCTGATATAGAAAAATGTTATAATTTCTGAATCAGATGTCAGTCATTGACTTTTTTCTTTTTTATTTCTGCCTTTTCCAAATTCAAATATAAGTAATACAATTGATTATGCGAAGAAAAGATATTCTTTCTAGTCACTTTTTTTTGTTGTTTTGGGAAAATTAGCCTATTATATTAACAAGCTTCTCTTTTTGCATTTTTTTAAAATTATATTTTTATTGATTTCAGAAAGGTAGAGAGAGAAATAGAGAGAGGGAGGGAGGGTGTGAGAGAGAGAGAGAGAGAAACAACAGTGATGAGAGAGAATCATTGTTGGCTGCATCCTGCACAACCCCCTCTGGGGACCAAGCCTGTAATCCGGGCATATGCCCTGACCAAGAATTGAACAGTGACTGGTTTACAGGTCGATGCTCAACCATTGAGCCTGTCGAGCTCTTTTTTTTTTTTTTTTTGTCTCAATTGTCAAGAAACTACAAGTAAATCTTGGCTCAATTGTATTCATAATCCCAGGTTTTATTAGTTCTGTTTTTATTATTAGTCTTCCTAATAAATAGACTATTTTCTTAGCTGCCAAAAATCAGTTTTGGAAGTAAGAATTCTATGCAATCTCTATTACATTTGAATTATGTTAAGATATTGCAAAATATATGCAATCTGTTGTTTAAATGGTAATTTAAGTAAAGGTATTAAAGATTATTTTACTTCCTTTTCCATTTGCTTGAAATAAAAATAACCTACATGTTCTGAGTTGATTTATATGCTATTTAAAAATTTGATCTCAGACTCAGAGAGTTGTGTAGTCATAAATCCTTGTTTTTATTTTTCTATTATTTATTTTTATTATTTTGTTGTTAATCTCACCTGTGTATATTTTTCCATTGATTTTTTAGAGAGATTGGAAGGGAGCCGGAGAAACACAGAGAGAGAAACATTGATTTGGTTGCCTCCCCACATGCGCCACACACAGGGTTGGGATCAAGCCTGCAACCATTATATGTGTGATCATGGTTGGAATCAAACCCGGGACCCTGAGACCCTTTAATCCGTGAGCTGATTGATGCTCTATCCACTGAGCCAAACCAGCTAGGGCATAATTTTTGTTTTTGACACTAGAATTATTAGTCCATGTGTGGCCTTATTTTTATTATTATCTTTAATACATTATAGAGATTTTCCACCCTTTTCATCTCATGGCATATACATAAACTATAATTACTAAAATTGTGCATCAGGCCGAGACCAGTTTGGCTCAATGGATAGAGCATCGGCTTGGGGACTGAAGGGTCCCGGGTTCCATTCCAGTCAAGGGCATGTACCTTGGTTGCGGGCATATCCCCAGTAGGGGGTGTGCAAGAGGCAGCTGATCGATGACTCTCTCTCATCGATGTTTCTAACTCTCTATCTCTCTCCCTTCCTCTCTGTACAAAATCAATAAAATATATTTTTTAAAAAATTGTGCATCAGGCATACCAAAAATACCATTTTATGCCACTCTGACAAAAAAAATATATATATGTAATTTTGATTCATTCACACTGGACAGCTATTGTGTTATTTGTTGTTTTCTAATTTGACAATCTAAGAGAAAAGAAGTCGGGTATTGGCATGTTTTAAAAATAGCTGATACAGTGAATACCCATAAACTCCTTAATTTAGGTTATCTCCTAGAAGTCAGGTTTAATGGCTTATGTTTCCTCATAGTGGATGCCACTGAAGACTCAAAGAAGAATGAGCCTATATTTAAAGTTGCTCCATCTAAATGGGAAGCTGTAGATGAATCTGAATTGGAAGCACAGGGTGAGTAAAAATCAAATAATGGATTTTAAAAAATTCAGTACTTAAAAATCAATCAACTTTAAGACCCAAGTCAGTTTCAGAGAAACCAAGGTTTGGTCCTCCCATAGTGGTTGTCTTAGATCTGCCTTTCATACTTTCTTGGACATGTATCCTGCTGCTTATAATCTGTATTTGTTAATACTTGTAGGTTCTAATGAAATAAATCTTACTATCTAGCACAAAAATAAGGATAACATTATTTGTCATTTCATGAATAAAAGTATAGTATAGGTGTGAGGAGGAAAGAAAGATATTTTTGCGTATATATGGCCAAATAATAAATAAACGTAGATAACCTCTGTAATATAAAATTTCAGTTTCTACACTGGGCTTCTACTAAGCTGCTGCAAAAATGCTAACTTACCTTATGGAATTATACCTTTTTTTCTTCTTCTATCCAGCTGTAACAACTTCTAAATGGGAGTTATTTGACCAGCATGAAGAATCAGAAGAAGAAGGAAATCAAAAGTAAGAATCTACAGATCCAAGTTTTTAATATACTCTGTTTCTTATTGCATATGTGCTCCCTTTTTTCATTTTACTTCATAGTAAAGAGGAAAACTTAACTGTTAAAAACCTTTTTATGAGTATCAGTTTTAGTTATCCATTGGTTTTCCAGTGAGTCAGGAGCTTTAGATTTCTGGTCTTGCTGCATCTGGTTTCACTTTGTTGTTGAGTTTATTTTTCTGTGCTAGGTATTACATTCTCACTTTGTAGTTACTAAATGGTCACCCGCATTTATTTTAAATCATTTTTTTTACTTTATAGAAAATTAATTATTTAAACTAGAGGCCTGGTGCACGAAATTCATGCACGTGGTAGTGTCCCTCAGCCCAGCCTACACCCTCTCCAATCTGGGATCCCTCTCACAATCCAGGACTACTAGCTCCCAACTGCACGCTCGAATGCCTGCCTTCCTGATTGCCCCAACCGCTTCTGTCTGCCAGCCCGATCACCCCCTAACCACTCCTATGCTGGCCCTGATTGATGTCCTACTGCTCCCCTGCTAGCCCGTTTGTCCCCAACTTCCCTCCTTTGCTGGCCTGGTCACCCATAACTGCCCTCCCTTGCAGGGTTGATCACCCACAACTGCCCTCTCCTGCAGGCCATCTTGTAGCAGCCATCTTTGTTCACATGGGGGAATCTTTGACCACATGGGGGAAGTCATCTTGATCTTGTGTGTTGTAGTGATGGTCAATCTGCATATTACTCTTTTATTAGATAGGATAAAGGCCTGGTGCATGGGCGAAGGGCCTGTGGTGGTTTGCAGGCCAGCTATGCGCACCGCGCCCCCGCCCCCATGACCTAAGTGGAGGAGGCCCTCATATCTGGAATTTATTTACCTTCTACAATTGAAACTTTGTAGCCTGGAGTAGAGCCAAGCTTTCTGCTTGCTTTGTGGCTGCCACCATTTCTGTTTGGATTTGTTTACCTTCTATAATTGAAACTTTGTAGCCTTGAGTGGAGGCTTAGGCTGGCTAGGCAGGTGGAAAGCTTGGTTTCTTCCATTGCCTGGGAAACCCAAATCTCCCTCCTGCTCTCTGTGGCTGGGTTGGGTTTATTTGCATACTCACTCTGATTGGCTTGTGAGCATGGTTTATGGGTGTGGCTGGTGGGTGTAGCAGTGGTGTGGTCAATTTGCATATTAATATTTTATTCGATAAGATGTGAATAAGAAGGTTATGCTTTTCTTTTGGATTGTACATTGCTGGGAAAATACATATTCAATCTGCTATGTTATTTAAATGTAAAAACTTCAAAAGAACTAAGATTAAAAGGAAAAAAATATTCCTTAGTGCATGAATAAATTGTAATTTTGAGTTTTGCTTATTGCTCATCACTCCAAAATCGTTTTTGCATTTGACACCAAATGTAACTATAGGAATCCCTGCTCCCAAATTCTGCAAGTTAATATTAGTAGTTTTTCCATAGCACTTGACACCTTTTTTAAAATAATTGCACAGGAAGTTAACTTTTTAATTAGGAAAAGATATGGCCTCAAAAACACAAGAAATTTCTGATTTTTAAATCTTGGGTTTTTTTTATTGCTGTCAAATGGAAGAGTGAACAAAGGGACCTTTGTGTTCCAGCACAATTTGAGCATTTGTATGGATTCAATAAATGGGTATTAATAGCATTTAGATTGTTAAGAAAATATGATTGATTAGCATTTGTGGAAACAATTTAAAAAAAATTTTTTTTTATTGATTTCAGAGAGGAAGGGAGAGGGAGAAATAGAAACATCAGTGATGAGGCGAAACCGGTTTGGCTCAATGGATAGAGCGTCGGCCCGCGGACTGAAAGGTCCCAGGTTTGATTCCGGTCAAAGGCATGTACCTTGGTTGCAGGCACATCCCCAGTGGGGAGTGTGCAAGAGGCAGCTGATCGATGTTTCTCTCTCAGCGATGTTTCTAATGTTTCTAACTCTCTATCCCTCTCTCTTCCTCTCTGTAAAAAATCAATAAAATATTTAAAAAGAAAAAAAAACACCAGTGATGAGAGAATCATTGATTGGCTGTCTCCTGCTCGCCCCCTATTGGGGATCAAGCCCACAACCCAGACCTGTGCCCTTGTCCTGAATCAAACCTTGGCCCCTTCAAACTACAGGCTGATGCTCTATCCACTTAGCTAAACTGGCTGGAGCCACTTGTGGAAACAATTTGATATAATGAGGAAAATATGGCAATAGTAATATCTTTCCATAAATATCAGTGTGATCAGAAGTCAGCAGTTGTTATCACAGAGAATTTAAAAATGTAGATATGGTTTGTGGAAGTGCCTATCTGAGATTGTTTAGGAGTAAAGGAATTGGGAACAGTGGTTTTCTTAACTGTTTTTATATCTATAATCCCATTAATAACATCTTCAAACATCTTAGAATCACTGCTGTAGAATGAATCTGTATACTCATAGAATGATTATTTAATTTAGAGTAAAGAAAGAGTAGAAAAGCCATTGTAGAGTTTAAATACTGTTTAATGGATTTTTTTAATAAAGGTGTTAATTTTTTTGCATAAATTTGATATTTGTGTTAATGTTTAGAATAAATGCATTCTAGTATTGAGAATAATCATATGTTCATACAGTAAGGCATGGATTACTGAAAATATTTATATTTTTTATTTTTATAGGAGTTCTAAATAAATCATCAGAAAAATAATTTTATGAAAGTACAAAGCAAGGAAATTTTTCCCATACAACTTTGAGCCTTAAAATTTTTATATGTCTCACTACTGCTCTCTAGTGGCTGACTCCAAAATTCCTTTTTACTAAGGAACTGGTGTTTGAAAGTAATAATTATTGGTATTTGTGGCAGAAATGTGATTCAAAAAATACATAGTATCACAAATGCTTATAATAAAGGTTTTAAATAGTAATATAACTTCATTTGTAATGAATTCTGTATGTGTGTATAGAGTCTTGAGTTTCTATTTCTTTAAAGAGCAAGATGAAGTTGTGATAAGATCTAAACCTAGAATTGATAATTTAAGAGTTAAAGTCATAACCAATTAAAAACACACTGCTTGGGCCTTGAAAAATTAAAATGAGAATTCTAAAATATATCTTAAATTATTGAAGTATAGTGTGTCTCGCTTAATAATAGGCTTAATAATATAGTTAATGTTTAGTGTCCAGCCATCTAGATCCTTTCTCTGTATATGTAAAAACATGCATATAATTTTTAAACATTAATTATAGAATACTGTTCTATGACATACTATTCTATGACCTTTGCTTATCACGCTACTGTCATGGGTATTATTTCATGTCAATCTACTTATTTAGCTACTCTGTAGTCATCTGTATTTATAAGCAGTCATTAAGGTAAGTGCACAAGAAAGTTTACCATGAAATATTTGAAATCTTTAAAAAAAAAAATCGAAACAAATAAATAATAGCCTGGAATTTAAGTAATTTCCATTACGCAGATGCCACAATTTAATTAACTGTGTAACATCCTTATTGATAGACCTTGTCCAGAATAATCCTTCAGTAAACACCTGTGCGGCGCCAGCACAGCCAAGGGTTCTGCGAGCCTGAGGGAGGGTCACCCTGGTTAAGGATAGAGAAAAAAGACAAGAGAATAAGCTGAGTCTAGGTGGATCTTTTGTGCCTTGCTGAGGCCACAGAACAGATGCAGACTGCAAAGCTGATGCTTTATTTATAGTCAGGGAAAAACAATGTAATTTATAACATTCTTGTAAGTTTCACTTATTTTGGCAGTCCTTGCTGCCTCTCCCACAGCCCACTAGCTACTCAGGAAAGATCTAGGGAGCAGTTACAAGATGAAGCTTAATTATGCTTAGAGGACTGTGCCCTCCAAGCTGGGACTTGTTTGTGACTTTGCCAGGTCAGTCTGAGGCTTAACCCTATAACCGCTTCCTACAAACACCTACATTTATATGCGTGTACGCTTGTGCACATATACACGTACACACACAATTGGCTGTTCAAAAGCATCTGAAACACTGGTTAAAGTTTTATGTACCATAAAACAAATTCTTGTATTTAAAAAAAAATAAAAAATACATTTAGGAAGTTTATGACAGATTAGTGAGAAATATTAAGTGAAAAGTTTATTTCCAAAAATATAGTGTTTAATAGTTAGCCTTGATTTTTTTCTCCTTAAGTATTGTGTTAAGTTGTACCTATATACAGTACTAATGATTTGTGGGTTCCAAGAGTCTTAAGTTTATAAAGCATAGTAGTAATATACTGGAAGGTACTTTTTGATTAGAAATTAAAAAGCTAGTTTTCTTTAAAAAAAAAATGCCACTTTTCTTTTAGTATCACATCTTTTTTTTTTCTTTTTTTTCCTAAGCTGCCAGTACTTTATTTTTATCTGCTTTGCTTATATTTTTCTCATTCGGTGTACAAATCTTATCAGACTCTAAAATAATGAAATTCTTATTTAGAAAGAATTTGTTTATAACTGTTTTTACATTATCTTGTATAGTTTTCTATATACTAAAAGGACTCCTACTTAGTGTAGAATGTATTTAGTACCCAAAAACCAACATATAAGAACTTCTCAGCTGAGACTTTAAACATTAAAGATATATGGCATATTTGCTAATATTGTTTATAAGGAATTTTATTTATATACATAAACATTCTGAGATTGTTTGTACATGGATGACTTGCTTTGCCCAGATTTAACATATACACACACACAAAGCCCAGACGGAGAACACACTTTTTCTTAAGTACCTTCATTTTTTTAGTCATGTGGTGGTAACCATACACATGGTTGCCTGCCTCTCTATTTCCACTAGATTGTAGTCAGTGGGATGGATAGGTGAAATTTCTTGTTCATATCCCTATCCATGCTAGTCACTTAGTTTTTCATTTTCTTCTTATCTAGAACTAGCACAACTTTAAGTATCATTAGTGTGTGCCAGTATTTAAAATTTACACATTGTTTTCTTTATTCCTAGAGTTATGTGCTAATCAAATAATTTTTCTACATGCTGCATTGATTATTTCATAGTAAATCTGTGTGCCTTAAACTGACGTTTCTTCTTGTTTATAGGTTCTGCTGAAGAAGGGTAAACCCTTGGCTTTTTAAACGTTAGGCTGGTTAAAGTCACTCTGAACTGTGATTTCATTTAACTGCTGCAGGCAAAGTTTGGTGCAGAATGAAAGGCACACATAACATTAACATAAACAGAATTTTTAAAAATATAGTTATATTTAAGCCCCAACTTTTTCTGTGGAGGAAACAGTTTTATAAAATTGTCTATATTATTTGATAAAATATTTTGTAAAAAATGTTTTTGTGATGAATTTCCCTCATTTTGTTAGTGTTATTTAAACTCTTAACGCAGCTTAAGACAGACTGTTAAATTTAACTTTTGTTTACTGTCTTGATATACAATGTATTCTGCTTATTTCCAAAGTCAAGAAGAAGACAGTGAAGATGAAGAAGATACTCAAAGTTCCAAATCTGAAGAACATCATTTATATTCTAATCCAATCAAAGAAGAAATGACCGAGTCCAAGTTCTCTAAGTACTCTGAAATGAGTGAGGAAAAACGAGCCAAACTTCGTGAAATCGAGGTTTGTATTGCATTGAAATTTAAAACTGCACTGACCTTTCAGTTTTTCTACTGAACTAGGCTTCCTCTTGGCATCACATCTTGGCACATCCTATTCCCTCTTTGCCTCAGCTGACTTCCAGGTCTCTTTGTTAAGCATCTCCTCTCCCCCTATATCCTTTTTCTTATCTGGATTTTCTTACATCCCCCTATTTATCTCTGTTATGATTAGCGATTATATTTTATGGGGGTTTTTCTTGATTGCTTGCTTAATTTCTGTCTGTTTCCCCGTGTCCTCCTCCTCCCCAAGACCGATTTCCATGAGGCAAAGGACCATGTCTTTCCAGTGCCATGGAGAGATCCTCTGAAGATATTCTAATGGATTACATCTGACATTATGAAAGTCATTACATTTTGAGTGTACATAGAATATAACTCAGAAAAGATAGCTACTTTGTGGCATGTTCAGTTAGGTGTACATTTATTATATTACTAGAGACCCAGTGCATGAAATTCATGCATGGTGTGTGTTTGTGTGTGTGTGTATGTGTGTCCCTCAGCCCAGCCTGCACCCTCCAATTGGAGACCCGTCAAGGGTAGTTGGACATTTTTCTCATTATCCAAGACTGCTGGCTCCCAACTGCTCATCTGCCTACTTCCTGATTGCCCCTAATTGCCTCTGTCTGCCAGCCTGATCACCCTCTAACCACTCCCCTGCCAGCTTGATCAATGCCTTACTGCCCCCCTGCCAGCCCGATTGCCCCTAACTTGCCTCCCTTGCTGGCCTGGTCACTCCTAACTGCTCTCCTGCTGGCCTGATCTCCCCCAACTTCCCTCCCTTGCCATCCATCTTGTGTCCACATGGGGGCGGCCATCTTGTGTGTTGGAGTGATGGGCAATTTGCATATTACCTATTTATTTATTTTTTTTAAATCAATCTTTATTGTTCATATTAGTACAAAGGTTCCTCATTTCTTCCCCGCTCCACCAGGTTCCCACCCCACCCTCCGCACACTCCCCATCCCCAATTGTCCTCATCCATAGGTGCACAGTTTATGTTCAGTCTCTTCCTCCCTCCCTTTCCCTGATAGTAAATCCCTTTTCAGATAGTAAATCAGTTACTTAGCATTTTCTCATATCAATAATACCTCCACATGCCCAATGATACACTTCACACAAAAGACATTTCCAAATAGGTCAACTAGCCTCATCCAGGCCCCACCCAAGGCACTCATAGATCAACACCCCAGCCCTATACTAACTCAACACATCCAGATCTAAGCCTTCATCTCTTGATTCAGCAGACCCTCAAGTTCCCACAAAAGTTTCCAGCCATGTCTGAGAGGCAGCCGTGGGGCAGGCGCAGGCGAGGAGCGAGCTGTTCTGGGCCTGGCTGCTCCGGGCCTGGCCTCTGTTGCTCTGGTTCGTTCCACAACCAGCTGCTCCGTGTCTGGTCCCTGCCGCTCCCGACCTAGTTGTTCTGGACTTGGCTGTTGCTGTTATGGGCCCTCCCAGCCTGGCAGCTGCTGCTCCGGTCCTGGCCGCACCCGACCTGGCTGCTCCGGGCCTGGCCGCTCCCAGCCTGGCAACCGCTGCTCTGGGCCTGGCTGCTCCCAGCCCGCAGCTGCTGCTCTGGGCCTGGCTGCACCCGAACTGGCTGCTCTGGGCCTGGCCGTACCCGACCCAGCTGCTCCGGGCCTGGCCGCACCAGACCCGGCTGCTCCAGGCCTGGCCGCTCCCAGCCTGGCAGCCGCTATATAGGATGCTAACTTTAAGTGTCTGCATCCTTTAGTGATGGAGAGGAGAGACAGTAGACATTAAGTGGGGCTTAACAATAAGAAGGAGAAAAATTTATATGAGAGTCCAAACCGTCTCCAGCAGAATCTCCCTTTCCTTTATCCCTCTCCTTTTTTAATGCCTCTATTTATTATCAAAAGTATTCAAATATGTCAGGAAGAATTCTATAATGGGAACCTTCCTTCCTGTTCCTTGCCACAAGATTTTGAAACATGCCCAGTAAATAGTGTAGCAGTTAGTCCAGAATCTCAAAAGTGTATATGATTGCCCTGGCCATTGTGGCTCAGTTGTTTGGGCGTCATCATATGCACTAAAAGGTTGCCAGTTCGATTCCTGCTCAGGGCACATACCCAGTTGCAGGCTGCACCCTGGTAGGGGGCGTGCAGGAGGCAACCAATCAATGTTTCACTCTCACATTGATATTTCTCCCTCTCAAAAAAAAAAAAAAAAAAAAAAGTATACATGAGTGAATGTTAATAGTCCATTTATTAAACAGTATTTATTTTTTAATGCATAATCTGTCAGTGCCATTCTGTTTTTACTAATAATTCGTTACCTTATTTCTGTTTCTCCACCTACTCACTGTTGTGCTGGTTATAAATTCTTGTTCACCTCATTCTCAGATATCACCAAGCCATAAAGTTAACAGAGAAAACATTTTGTCTACACAGAATCATATGGTGGTGTTATAAGTTTAGAGGCGAGATTTCAGCATTAGGTTGATTCATTTTTCCTGGGATATGTTCAGTTACACTCTCTCTAGAGTTTTTAGGGGCGCAAGGTGATGGATGTCAAGAATACACTTACGGTTGCCCTTTTCAAGCTGCATGTGCCCCATTTTAATAGCCTTGCTGAACTCCGTCTTACTAACCTGATGGAATATTGAAGTAGAAACAAAGACTGAGTTCATTAAAAATATATTTCCTTGATAATTGAAGTGATATTTTGATAATTAAAAATGCCAAAACAGACTGATCATTCGTAAATGTTCTATTTCCTTATTGGCTTAAAGAGAAAAAAACCTAATTTAGCTTTTTTGTTAATTTCTATGTATTTGTATATCTATGTGCTCTCTGATAATCTGACCTTTCCTTTATTACTAGACACTCCTCGATTGTTTCTCTTGCTCTTGTAGTGCCTGCCTCTCACAATTTAATCTTTGGGGATTTGCATTGTGAACCAAATTCTAATTTTAAAATGAAATTCTTTGGGGAACCAGATACCAACTTCATTATCATTTTGTTGAGATAAGTTCTTAAACCACATTCAGATTTTTTTTTTAAAATATATTTTATTGATTTTTTTACAGAGAGGAAGAGAGAGAGATAAGAGAGCTAGAAATGTCGATGACAGAGAAACATCGACCAGCTGCCTCTTGCACACCCCCTACTGGGGATGTGCCCGCAACCAAGGTACATGCCCCTGACCGGAATCCAACCTGGGACCTTTCAGTCCGCAGACCGACGCTCTACTTCTGAGCCAAACTGGTTTCGGCCACATTCAGATTTTCGAGTCATCTTATACAGTTTTATGGAGTTCATGTGGGTGCATGCTCGATCATTTCAGTTCTGCATAGTTGGGCTTGTCTGACACATACTACTTTGCTGTATTTATGTTTTTCCTTTTAATATGCCTGTTTCAAAGAAAATACTTTTTTCTTAATTGAATTTATTGGGGTACAGGTTTCAAGTGTACAACTCAATAAAAGATCATTTACACACAGAATCATGTGCCCCATTGCCCCAAGCAAAGTCTCTTTCTGTTCCTGTTTCCCCTCTTTACCCATTTCTACCACCCTTTCCCCCTGGCCATCACTACACTGTTGTCTGTGTCTATGTGTTATATGTATAGTATATATGTGTGTGTGTGTGTGTGTGTGTGTGTGCGCGCGCGCGCGCGCGCGCGTGCGTAAAAATGGGGGGGTTTACTTAATCACATCACCTTATTTCATCCAGACTCCCTGCCCCTGTCCCCCTTTGACATCTGTCAGTCTGTTCCATGTTTCTATGCCTCTGTTTCTATTTTGTTCATCAAGCAGTACTTGAGGAACTATAGTGATGAAAAAATTTTGTCTTCACAGCTCAAAGTTATGAAGTTTCAGGATGAATTGGAATCTGGAAAAAGACCTAAAAAACCAGGCCAGAGCTTTCAGGAGCAAGTAGAACACTACAGAGATAAACTACTTCAACGAGTAAGGAATAGGAATACTCAATAACATGTGTTTTCCAAAATTATTTGTTTGACTCCCTAGCATACTGGTATCTATACTAATCTATACTAATAAAAGAGTGATATGCTAATTAGACCGGAGATCTTTCGGAGACCTTCTGGACAAAGCTGGGGTCTTGGCCGGCCTGCAAACCACCTCCAAATGGCCCTCAGCCCCTTGCCCAGGTCAGCCATACGCCGCAGCAGGAACCCCCACCCCGATGGGGGCCTGGACAGCCTGTAAACTGCCCCAGCCCCTTGCGCAGGCTAGCACCATCCCTAGTGGGGACCCCACTCCAATGAAGGTGTGGCTGGCCTACAAACTGTTTCTCGCCCAGGCTGGCCCCATCCCCTAAGGGAACCATCTTTAGCAGATCAGCCAGCCCCCATCCATGCACCAGACCTCTATCTTCTATACGAGTGTTTCCCAAACTTTTGACACGTGTACCCCTTCTATAGTTTTCGTAACGCTGAGTACCCCTTGTAAAAAAAAAAAAAAATGGATGTATAAGGTGCAGCTAAGCATGGTGCAGTGTGTATCCCCACCAAACTCCGGTGCAATATGTACCCCCACCAAATTCTTCCTGTACCCCTGGGGGTACACGTACCACACTTTGGGAAACACTGTTCTATACTAATAAAGGGTAATATGCTAATTAGACTGGGAGACCTTCCAGACAAAGCCTTGGTGTTGGGGCTGAGGTAGAGACAGATAGGGACGATCAGGCCAGGAGGGGAAGACAGTGGGGGGTGATCAGGCTGTGGGGTGGGGAGGGTAAGCAGGCTGATGGGAGAGATCAGGCTAGCCAGGTGGGCAGTTGGGGGCGAGCAGGCCAGCAGGGAAGGGCATTTGGAGGTGATTAGATCGGTGGGGGGGAAGCAGTTGAGGGTGAGAAGCCTGGCAGTCGGGGGGGGGGGGGGGAGGAAGCAGTTGGGGGTGAGCAGAGGGTGAGCAAGCTGGCAGGCAGAGTAGTTAGGGGCGATCAGGCAGGCAGGCAAGCTGTTAGGAGCCAGTGGTCCTAGATTGCAAGAGGGGTGTTCGACTGCCCAATCCTGTGGGATTAGGCCTAAACTGGCAGTTGACATCCCCCGAGGGTTCCCAGATTGGAGAGGATGCAGGCCGGACTGAGGCGCTCCCCCTTTCCTCTCCTCCCCCGCTTCCCCCTCTCATGAATTTGTATACCACACCACTAGTATTGGTATATTAAGAAAAATTAATTCAAATTGCATCCTTTGATGTATAAATCCTGGATATTGGTAGACAACTAGGAAGATTTGAAATTTCATGTTTTACAATTATTTCAACTTGTAAAAGGGTTAGGGCCACAGCATAGTATTTTATTGTAGATATTACCTATAAATAAGAAAATTCTGCTAAGAATATGATTTCAAAACTGTAATAGAGTTTTGAAATAGAGAAAAAACCCTATAGAAAGAGTATTTGTGACCATGAGATGCCAGAAACCATAAGAAGTGGCATAGAGACAAAAAGATGGAGTTAGGCTTTAAAAAGTTTATGTAGGACTCAATTTCAATTATTTTCAAGGAGGGACAGGGACAGCAAGTGGTAGACTACCTTATCATTGAACTCTAAACTTTTGAGGAACCTGATATTCTTGTTCATTAAAAAATATCTAGGGATACACAGAATTTTAGGATAAGGAGACCCACATGATAATTGTTGGGAGAACCCAGGGGTTTTATTGGGACTGCTATATTTTTATTTAAAGTATTTTAACTCTAGTTTGATTTCTATAAATTATGCATGAGTAAACTATATTTTGCAGACCATAAGCCTCACTTTTAAAATTTCTACTCTATATTATTTTAAATAAAGATCATTTAGATTTGAATAAAAGATGTTATGTATCTGTACCACATGAATCCCTTTGGAGATGGTGGCAGGTGTTTGATCTTTATGGAAGACTCCTCTACTTTGGAATGCTTACTGGTCCTGATGGTAGTGAGACATATATGTTTTAGTCTTCTGCATTCCAGATTGCATTTGGGGAGGAGGGTGTGTTTCTTGATGTATAGGGTTGGCAGACTGTACCATCACCTCATTTTGTAAATAAACATGGCTCACAGCCATTCTCTTTAGCAGAGCTGAATATTTTTAACCATCTTTGTGTGGCCCACAAAGCAGAAGATATTTTATATTTTCGGCTCTTTATAGGAAATGTTTGCCAACATCTGGTTCAGGCTTTTAATCAGCTATCAGAGAGCTTTCTTGATGCATAGAAATCTTAGTGCAGTTAAATTCCCTGTTAATGAAGATCTGCGTGGGCTTTGTGGGTTCATTGTCTATAGCTACTCCTTTAATTAAATAATCAATAGAAATTATAATTTCAAGTGAGAAGTGGCAATTATAGTATCTGAGGATAAGGATATAGTTTTTCTGGTTTATATAATTGTATAGTCACATGGTTTTTATTTTCATAAATTAGGATTTAAAATTTGCAATACAATTGGTACTTGTCTCTCACTAATAAGATTTTCTGATGGACAGTTTTTGTGAATAGCTATTTCTCCTTTTCAGCCTGTTGCTTTGTCAAGGCTCTCTTGATTAAATCAACTTGCTGTGCAATAGTATCACTGCTATTTTATTGTTCTCTGAAATGGCAGGGTCAATGCATTGTTATCTTGTGAGGGATAGCACTCTGCAAGTGGTAGTTACAAACCTTAGCTCCAGAGCTTGGGCTCAAATCCTGACTTTATTCTGTGTGACCAGGAGCATGGAACTTAAACTTTCTGAGTTTCAGCTTTCATCTCTAGAACCGGGATAAAGGTACTACTGTGGGTGTTTGGAAGAAATATATGAAATGGTGTGTGAGGATTGTTTACTAATTATCTGGCCTATGGTAAGCACACAGTAAATGTTTGGCTGGGTGCTTTATTCATGGTGAGTAGAAGAAATGGCTAGCTTTTTTGGAAGAGGAGGTTTTTTTTTTTTTTTTGCTGCTGTTGTTGGGTTTTTTTTTGTTTTTGTTTTTTAATGTTATTTGTGATTTAAAGATTAGTTAAGTAGAAGAGAATGTATCATTTATAAATGAGATTAACCCAGATTGGTTTTCATGACAAAATATTCTTTCTTTAAAAAAAAAAATTTCACAGGAGAAAGAGAAAGAATTAGAAAGAGAACGAGAAAGAGATAAGAAAGATAAAGAAAAATTGGAATCTCGGTCCAAAGACAAGAAGGAAAAAGATGAGTGTACTCCAACAAGGAAAGAAAGGTATAACATTTCTAATTTAATAACTATACTGGTTTTAGGATTTAGAATGATGTTCCATGTTATAATATTTTCAACACCGATTCCAACAAACTAGAATATAATTTTTCATGATAAATATGTTTGGCTCTTGCCTGTTAGAGGCAGAACTAACTGAAAAATGGGACCATTAATTAGAACTTGGCTTAGTTAGCTAAGCCATCATCCCTTTATATCCTTTCACATGGTTCGCAAGTTACCTTTACCTTAGTTCAGTACTAAGAATTTAGTTACCATACTAGGTATCAAGCTTAGGCTTAAATAACTAAACAGCTTGCTAGATCTTCCTTGTTGTCTCTAATATAAGCTGAGTCTGCTACATGTAAACTTGATTCTTCCAGTCCTACCTGGGAAGGAGATTATGCACATGGACTGTAAGAACTTGCTACTTACTTTATCTTCATTCCAATAAGCATTGCTTCTCTTTTAATTTTTATTTTCTATGTTAATAATCCCCAAATCTGATTTAGTAGAGAAAATTGCTTCTATTAACAGTTAACTTTTTCCTAATAAAAACCAAGTGAATGTAAATTTAAAAATTTTGGCTTAGTCACTATACAAATAGTTACAAATAGCATAGTTATTAGTTAAATAGTAAATCTATTTTTCTTTTTTTATTATTTTGATATTTTAGATTTACAGAAAACTTGCAAGAATGGTATAAAGAATTTCCAGATGTTTTTCATCCATGTTCCCCAAATGTTAAATATTTCTACTTTTGCCATATTTTCTTCTCCTTTTCCCTTCCTCCAACAATTTCAGAGTAACTTGGTGCCCTATCCTTCCTATATAATAAAAGGCTAATATGCAAATTGTCCCCTCCACTGGGAGTTTGACCAGGGGGTGGGGCTGGCTGGCCCTGCCCCCACTGACCGCTCTCCACTGGATCCCCTATCAGGTGTGTGACTGGCCAGTCAACTTCCCATAGGTCAGCTGGACCCCACCTATGCATGAATTCATACACCAGGCCTCTAGTTATCTATAAAGGCCTAAGCAATTGTTCAACCAGTAACTGTGATGCTCACTGACCATGAGGGGCCAGACACTCAATAGATAGGCATGGAAACATGGAACAGACTGATGAATCTCAGAGGGAAGGGAAGAAGGAGAAGGGCAGAAAGAGATTAACCAAACATTTTATATGCATACTAGAGGCCCTGTGCACAGAATAGTGCACCAGTGGGATCCCTCGGCCTGGCCTGTGAGGATCGGGCTGAAACTGGCAGTCCAAAATCCCCCAAGGCATCTCAGATTGCGAAAGAGCACAGGCTAGGCCAAGGGACACCCACCAGTTATGGGCCTCTCGTCTTATATAAACCACAATAAAAGTTTCAAGATTGTGAAATTAACATTTAAAAACCTATTTAATTAGAGACCTAATGAAATTTTGTCCATTGTCTCAGTAATCTCATATAGCAAAAGAAAATCCAAAATCTTTGATTTCAAATTTTGTCTTGATCAGTCTTTAAGATTTAATTGGCTCTTGGTATAAAAGGCTTTGAATGTTTTGGAAAATAACATCAGTGAGGTTAGTGAAATAAAGTTAGTACAAACTGGTAGGAATTAATAGCTAATTTGGTAGCAGGAGCTTGAATGCCTGATGCTTTGCTCACTTATGGAATGTTTTTGGGCTTTGTTCCATAGGAAAAGGCGACACAGTATGTCCCCTAGCCCATCTCGCAGTAGCAGTGGTAGACGAGTGAAGTCCCCATCACCAAAGTCGGAACGATCAGAGCGATCAGAAAGATCTCATAAAGAGAGTTCGCGGTCCAGATCATCTCACAAAGATTCTCCTCGAGATGTTAGCAAAAAGGCCAAAAGGTAAATGCAAATCATTTTTGGCAATATTTGAAATACCAATTTCCTTATCATTCTACCACCTTTTGATAATGATTTGGTGGATAGCTATGTTTTACAGCAAGCATGTCAAACTTAAAGGCTATCACTGGCCAAATAAACAAGATTTAAGTTTATGTGGCCTGCAAAAAAACCAAAAGCTTCAATTTTCATAGAAATGTAGGTTTGTTTTAATACTGACATGCTAAATACAAAGGGCTGAAATAAATGAGTAATCTATAGTAATAAAAGGGTAATATGCAAATTGGTCAGATGCTCTTACAATAACACTGAACAGCAGGCTGTGTGGGGCTACCAGGTTGGCAGAGGAGTGCAGTGAGGGGCACCATGTTGACGGGGAAATGGGGAGGAGTTGGGGGCAACCAGGCTGGTGGAGGTGCGGGGTTGGAGCTGATTGGAAAGAGTGCAGGCTGGCCTGAGGAGACACCTCCTCTTCCCTGTGCATGGATTTTGTACACTAGGCCTCTAATCATTAACATAAAATAATGGAACATTTTAATAAAAATTAATATTTTTTCTTGAACATTAACTTACCAGATACTGAATAACTACACAAATTAATAAGTGTACTGAAAGCAAAATATTTTCTGTTGCACACACCGAACAAGTCAGTCCAAGACTAATCACATAGCAATTGCCTGCTAAAATATTCACTGCTATTATTAGTGGAGAGAAATGTGCATACAGGAAATGAACGCAATATGATTATAGTAATCAGTCATTAACGGATGCTATAGTTTGTTATTAATTATATATAATGGGATACTGTAAAAATTAAGTTACAACTTTTTTATTAAAAACATTTCTTACATACTGTTATATTGTCTGGGCCTCAAAATACTTATTGTGGCCATGAGTTTGACATGCTTGTTTTACAGGATTTTAGGAAACCAAAAAGAGATACTTTCATTTTAGATTATGCCTTCCCATCTCTCAACACCAGGCTCATGACTATAACACAAGAAGGCTTTCAAAAGTAAAGCCAGCCAATAACTTTAACATCATATCCAGTGTTTCCTATGGAATAGGGATAGCTGCATTACTTTTCATTCTGTTCTTTAATTTCTATAGAACATTTTTTTATTTTTGTCAAGGCTGAAAGAAAAAATACATCCTCCTTGCTCCCCATATTTCTCCTGCAATCTTAATAGTAAGTTTTTGGGTAGAGACTTGTGAAAATAAACACCATTTCTTCAGTGTATAATTTAGTGTATACTTGTTTTCTTGTAGTTCCAGAAAAGTGGTTCAAAAATATTTTATCTGGTGTTATTTTCCTAAGAGCTAAAACTTTATCTCCTAAAATTTTATTATTGTACCATTTTTAGTGAAATCTTTATAGAATAGATGTTACTGGTGTAAGTGTGTTCACATGCGCGCACACGCACACACATACACATACATAAAAGCATTATTTATTTACTAGGGCCCGGTGCACAAAATTTGTGCACTGGGAAGGGGTCCCTCAGCCCAGCCTGTTCCCTCACATATTGGGAACCCTCAGGAGATGTCCTACAGATGGCTTAAGCCCACTCCCCATTGGGAGTGGACCTAAGCTACAGTCTGGCCTCCCTTTGCTTGAGGTGACCAGGCTGATCAGGGGAAGGCGCCAGCCCCATCACCCTGCTGCTGCAGCCACTGCTAGTCACCACAGCCGCCAAGGTATTTTCATCAACACGGACTCCAGTCCCTTCACCATGAAAAAATGACAACTTTCTTTAAGCATTTTTTAAGATGTGTCTTTCATAGGATATGACATTTCTTTTTCTTCTTTTTAAAATATATTTTATTGATTTTTTACAGAGAGGAGGGGAGAGAAATAGAAACATTGATGAGAGAGAAACATCGATCATTTACCTCCTGCACACTCCCTACTGGGGATGTGCCCGCAACCAAGGTCCATGCCCTTGACCAGAATCGAACCTGGAACCCTTGAGTCTGCAGGCCTATAGTCTATCCAATGAGCCAAACCAGTTAGGGTGGATATGACATTTCTTTCTTTCTTCCTTCCTTCCTTCCTTCCTTCCTTCCTTCCTTTATTTATTTATTTATTTATTTATTTATTTATTTATTTATTTATTTTTAATCCTCACCTGAGGATATGTTTCCATTGATATTTTTCCCTTTCCTCCAATCCCAAGCTCAGCCCCTTCCCAAGCCAAAAGCCTACACCCCAGGCTTTAGGCTTGGGAAGAGGTTCCCCCACCCTCCAATCGCAGGCTCGGCCCCTTCCCAAGCTTAAAGCCTGATGAATTTCCTCCCGCCACCCTCACCTCTCGGGCTTCAGGGGGGAAGTGGGAGTGGGGGGGTGGGCGGGTGCACTCGCTACCACCACCTCTGTGCACCTCTCCTCACACGCCTGACACGCACGCCTGTCCTGTCCTTTGCGTGCTCTGAGCCTTTTCCCTCAAGGAGATAGGCTGCAAAGCTGTCTTTTTTTTATTTTTTATTTTATTGTGAATGCTATTAATTAGATGTCATTTTGAACTTTATCTTGTAGATTTAAAGGTTCAGACTTAGAAGTATATCACTAACTGGGGGAAATTTTAAAACTTCAAATCCGCAGTTCTGCTTTGAGATTTTAATTCAGTAGAGCAGTTTGGTAAGGCTTAGGATCCTGGCTTTTAAGCAAGCGCATTATTGATGACTGATGCAATGCCCAAGTAGTATAAAATCTGTGTATGAGCATGTAGGCAGAATGTAGACCTGGGAAATTTACAATCTTATGTATTTCAGTGATTTTTGTTGTGTTCAGTTAAAGCTTATTTAAGGAGTCGATTTTGATCAAAGAGTATTGTGATAAATTGTTTTTGTTTCCTCAGATCACCATCTGGTTCAAGAACACCTAAAAGGTCTAGGCGATCACGGTCTAGATCCCCTAAAAAATCAGGGAAGAAATCCAGATCCCAGTCTCGATCTCCACACAGGTCTCATAAAAAGTCAAAGAAAAACAAACATTGACATACATTTTTAAGATGCTGTCACTTATTGGAAATGCAATTTTGTTTTGTGCCTGAACTGTTTGTTTTTTAAAAAATCAAATGAAAGAGCATTCCTGGGATTTTTGTTTGTTTATTTGTGAAGCATGTATAAACTCATGAGTAACTGCATATGTAGACCTGTCATTGTTTTATATTGTGTAAATTACTTTCGTTGTAGCTGTTTTCAAGATGAAATTATTGTGGTAATGAATTTCATCAGAAATGTGTATAATGGATCTGCTAGCAGTAGTAGTATTTTGTTTTAGAATGCTGTGACTTAGCAAAACTAATACAGATGTTTTTTTCCATTTTGTAGCTTTGGCAATTTGAATTAGATTTCAAATAAAATCTGAACAGAAAACCATAATGTTTTTTTGGGGTTTTTTTCCCCCCTATTGGTAACGTCAAGTCCCTTAAAGTCCTAGTCCTACTAAATGAGTTTAGCACTTCTGTTGTATTTGTATACCTAATGCACTATACTAGCTCCATTGTTCACACAGGTAAAGTTTTATATTTACTAAAATGACCATAAAAATTAGGGAACCTGAGACTCTTATTTGGTAGGTTTGGCAGCCAATTTCTTCGATAAGGTTCTCTTGGGTAATACTAGTACCCAGAGGTCAAAAGATGAGGTGAATGTAGAATGTTCTATTGCTGGCTCGAGTATATTTTATTTTTTCAAAGAAGCAATGTGATTTCAGAACACTCAACTATGTCCTGAGCAAAGTAGAAGGGAGAGAGAGAAACATCACTATGAGAGAGACACATCAATTGGTTGCCTTCTACACTTGCCCCGAACAGGCCGGGAATCCAGCCTGCAGAGCTATCTTCAAACCTCTAATGTTAATACATTTCTGTTAAAGTACGTGTGTGTGTGTGTGTGTGTGTGTGTGTTTTTAAAGATTTAACTTTAAGTAAAGTTTAAAAATAAAATAGTTTTAAAGAAATTTAACACCCAATGGTTTGTAAATTCAAGGTGCAGAAAGTTGATTAAAATGATTTGCAGAATTGAAATCTGTTATGCAGTCTAAGAAACATTGCTGCCATCTGAGAAAGAAATAAACCTTGTATTTTGTTGATCACAGTATTGTTATAAATGTAATGGGATAAAGAGCTTTGTAAATGGAACTGACATTGCTCATTTTGAATCTATCTCTGTTTCACATTTAGGCACTGATCTGATGAGGGGGTGGGAGGAGAGGGTGGTTTCCCCTTAAAAGAGAGAGTAGAAAACGATCCCAAATAAAAAGTTGTTTGAGTCACTTGCTTTTTAAAAATCTATTTTCAATTGTTTACTTAATCTTGCCTATTCACCAAATAAGTTGTACATTTTGGAGGGAGTTAGGTATATTAGCTGAGTAGTGAGACATGCTATTTCCAAACTGGTCTAACCTACAATAGCTTTAGAAATGAGCCAATTATATTATTTTACTTATAAAATAAATTATATTATTTATCAACATGCAGTTTTGTTTGGAAGTTATTCTTTTATTGTTTACTTTTTTGTTCATATTTATTAATTTCTAAATATTGCTCAGAATAAGCATGAACATTTGTTGCTGGTTTTTAAAAATTACATATGCAGCCATTTAAAAAATTATTTTTTTCTTTGTTCATTGTTTAAGAGAATATTATATAACCATAGGCCTGGTGCACGAATTCATGCATGGGTGGTGACCCTCAGGGTGGCCTGCGGAAATAGGGCCCCAGCTTGCACTGTCTCACAGCTTTTCCTGGCACCCTGCCTTGGCCTGGTGCCATCGTCTCACTGCTCCACTATCACAACTGCAGGGCAGTTGGTCAGAGCCCAGCCCCTCATCTGGCTCCCTCAGTGCCTGGGAGCCAGGTGGTAGCCCACCTCCATCCACCACAGCTGGTCACCATCTGTGGAGCAATCAGGCCTCAGCTTGCCTTGGACTGGCGCCACCCGCTCACCTGTTCCACCATCCTGTTGCAATCCCATTCTCGTTAGGGCCCATCAGGGCCAGCAGCACCTCCGCTGCCACCCACTCCTAGCACCACATAACTTATACCCACCATATTCCTCAAAGCCCCGTCATGGTCAGTGCATGTCATAGCAAGCAGTCAAACTTCCGCTCTCCTGGTTGAACGACCACCAGAGGGGACAGTTTGCATATTAGGCTTTTATTATATAGGATTCCTTTTTTTTTTTTTTTTTTTTTCAAAAATAATGTTGTTTTTGCTGATTTGGGCATTCCATCATTATCTGGTATCTAGTATAGGCTTACAAGTGAGTCAGGTAATGGTTTTGCCAGTCAAGTTGCAAGGAATGCTTATTTCTTAAAATATATCTGGGAGAAGTAGGAGTGGGTAGAAGTTGTTAGTTTAGATGTGAGTGCATTTAACAGTTCTTTTAATGTGGAACCAGATACGGTGAACATAGTTTATGTCACAGTGGGTAGACTGGCTTCCTTTTGGATGTTTGGGTGGGATTGCTTAGTCTTGAACTACTGTTAGATAAATTTTACTTACTGAAAAAATATCTAAAGTAAGCCTGTTTAGTTCTCCATGTATTTCTATGAAAATTTAAGTGGATCCAGAAATTGGTGAATAGTAAGGGGGGAGATAGTCTACCATCCTATCTAATAAAAGAGTAATATGCAAATTAACCATCATTCTATAACAAAAGGGCGGTGCCCATAGACACAGGATGGTGGTGCCCAGTCCTCTCAGGCCCAGGGAGGGCTGCCACTGAGAGAGGCAGCATGAGGCCCTGGCTTTTGGCCTGGGAGGTGGCTGCGCACCCCCGGAGTGATCAGCTCCCAGCTTCGACTGAGCTGTAGGCCTGGGAGGTGGCACACACCCCCTTCACAATCGCTCCCAGCAGCAACCCTAGCTGAGGCCTGGGCAGTGGCTGTGCCCCCCCCCCCCCTCCACTCCTCTATCCCCCACTGCTGTGTATGATCTCCTAGCCTCTCCTAGGCCTGGGCTGTGGGCAACCGCTAACACGCCCCCCCTCCCCCCAACCCAGCAATCAGCTCCTATTTACAGCCCTGGGGGGGCGGGGGGGTTGTGTAGGCCTGAGAGGCAGCTGTGCCTCCAAGAGCTATCCCTTCCCTAGGGCAGTCTGGGGTGTCAGCCTTCAAAGGGTCTGTGCCCCCATGGAGTGATCCCTCTGCCCCAACACCAATAGCCTTGGAATTTCCTTTGCCCCCAGCAGAGTTATTAGAGACAGAAAAGGAATAAAAGGAGAAAAGAAAGTACAAAAGATGAAACATCAAGAGAAAGACAAGGAAGAAAGGAAGAGACAACCACATGATATTACCTTTCCAAGGTCTCATGAGATTCCTGTTTAACGAGTTTATTTTATGACACTTTTAGTTTGGGTTTACATTTTTACTGGGTTGTCAAGACCATGGCAGGTACACTGTCCAATATGTTAAAAACCCTATCTAATAAAGAGGGAATATGCAAAGGAGGGCATTCGGGGGTGACCAGGCTATCAGGGGAGGGCAGTTGGGGACTATCAGGCCAGCAGGGGAACAGTTAGGTGTCAATCAGGCTGGCAGAGGAGTGGTTAGGTGGTGATTAGGCAGGCAGGCAAGCAGTTGGGAGCCAGCAGTCCTGGATTGTGAAAGGGATGTCTGACTGCCTGATTATGCCTGATCCCATAGGCAGACATCTCCCGAGGGGTCCCAGATTGGATAGGGTGCAGGTTGGGCTGAGGGACAACCTCCTCCCACAGTGCACAGATTTTGTGCATTAGGGCTCTAATATTTATAATAGCATATTGCATGATATTAAATTGAATAGCAAAATTTCTACAGGTTGATTGAAATGTTAATAGGCAAGGCCTGCTAGTTACAGATAATGCTCTGTTTTGCTGGCTCTGTGATAGACAGTTACTATCTTCTGCCATAGTTATCTGCCCTTCTTATTAAGGGTGTGGTGTAACCTCTTTACCCTCTAACCTATTTATACACATGTTTTCTTTACCAGGTTAATCTATAATAATAAAAGTAATTAGTTTGGTTGTCCTTCTGGATGCAGTGGGGGCTTGTGAGGGAAACCCGGGTCCCTGTTGCTAGAGGGAAGTCGGTGCCAGAAGCTGGGGGAAGGAAGGCCTCTTGCACAGATTTTGTGCATTGGGCCTCTAGTAGCATATAATCTCCCTTTATTCTACAGGTGAGAGAAAGGAAGTAAATGAGAGTCTATTTCTTACCAAAGAGAGACCTATGATTGAATCATGTTTGTGAATTTTTTTTGACACTGTTTACTTATTACTGTTAGTGTATGGACATTTCTGAACTGTAACATGTTGAGTACTTAGAGATTAAGGAACTGACCACAGAGAATGCTCTTATTTGTCTCAGGATATTTTTGGCTTTTCAGATAAAATTTGCAAAAGTTATTATACTCTGACCTAATTTTTCTTTATTGCAGACCATTCCTGTTGGCTTACCCTGAGACTTTCATCCTAATTTAGGAATCTCATAGGGAGGAAAGATTTATATTTGCCCCCTAAACTTGAGTATTCTTGAGCACTTGAAAATACCTTTTAAGAAGTTCCAATTGTACCCTAGCTTGTTTGGCTAGGTGGAGAGAGCGTTGGCCTGTGGACTGAAGGGTCCCAGATTTGATTCTGGTTAAAGGCACCTGCTCAGGTTGCAGGCCTGGTCCCCAGTGGGGGTGTGTACAAGGCAGTTGATCAATGATTATCTCTCATCATTGGTGTTTCCATCTCTTTCTCCCTCTTCCTTCCTCTCTTAAATCAATAAAAAAAAAAAAATTTTTTTTAAGCAAGTATTAAAAAAATGCCAGTTGTGATCTAATTGAGGTTTATTAGAAATATTATGTACACATTTATCTCTATGGTGATATAAATTCTAAAAATTATATGGTCGTGGTAATAGTTTATCATTTTGATCATTAAAAATGAGAGCAGAGAAACCACGATGGCGGCATAAGTAAACGCCTAACTGCAGCCTCGCACAACAATTTCAAAAAATACAATTAAAT